GCATGTCTTAACTTGAAAGGGAGGGTGTATCAAATCTTGGTGGTGAAACATGAAGCCCACGTGGGATGATGTCTTAAGCATTCTAATGCATGAAACCTTTGATCAACAAATCCACAACGAACCCCCCCTTTATTCTTATTTTGTTACCGTTTCCCTTTAAAATAGTTTCATGCATCCATTTTTAACATAACTCCCTCCCATATAATTCAATTTTATATAACTCCCATATAATCCATGTCCGTAAAACTCTTAAAAAAATATTCTCATTCTATTCTAAATTGAATTAATACTCTCAATCATTTTATCTTAATAGTCCTTAATAAAAAATCACAAGTTAGTAGTTCCTGTCTCCTGAACCAATTTTTAATTCTATCTATCCAATTCCTGTCTTCTGAACCAATTTTTACTATTTATATTATCCAATTCTTGTCTCCTGAACCAATAATTACTTTTTTATTAAATTCTTGTCTCTTGAACCAATATTTACTTTTCTATTAAAATTCCTGTCTCCTGAACCAATATTTACTCCTGTGTATTAATTCCTGTCTCCTGAACCAATATTTACTCCTGTGTATTAAATCCTGTCTCCTGAACCAATATTTACTCCTATCTATTAATTCCCGTCTCCTGAACCAATATTTACTCCTGTGTATTAATTCCCGTCTTAAAACTAATGTTTACTCCTGTGTATTAATTCTTGTCTCCTGAACCAATATTTACTTCTGTGGTGTTAATCCTGTCTCCTGAACCAATATTTACTCCTGTATAAATCCAGTCTCTTGAACCAATATTTACTCCTGTATAAATCCTGTCTCCTGAACCAATGTTTACTCCTGTGTATTAATTCTTGTCTCCTGAACCAATATTTACTCCTGTGTATTAAATCCTGTCTCCTGAACCAATATTTACTCCTGTATAAATCCTGTCTTTTGAACCAATATTTACTACTGTGTATTAATTCCTGTCTCCTGAACCCCTAATTACTTTTCTATTAAATTCCTGTCTCTTGAACCAATATTTACTCCTGTGTATTAATTCCTGTCTCCTGAACCACTAATTACTTTTCTATTAAATTTCTGTCTCTTGAACCAATGATTACTTTTTTATTAAATTCCTGTCTCTTGAACCAATATTTACTCCTGTATAAATCCTGTCTCCTGAACCAATATTTACTCCTGTGTATTGATTCCTGTCTCCTGAACCAATATTTACTCCTGTGAATTAATTCCTGTCTCCTGAACCACTAATTTCTTTTCTATTAAATTCCTGTCTCTTGAACCAATATTTACTCCTATCTAGTAATTCATGTTTCATGAACCATTAATTACTTTTCTTTCAAATACCTGTCTCTAAAACTAATGATTACTTTTTTTATTAAATTCCTGTCTCTTGAACCAATATTTACTCCTGTGTATTAAATCCTGTCTCCTGAACAAATATTTACTACTGTATAAATCCTGTCTCCTGAACCAGTATTTACTACTGTATAAATCCTGTCTCCTGAACCAATGTTTACTCCTGTGTATTAATTCCTGTCTCCTGAACTTCCCCTATCTATTACATTCTTGTCTTTTTACTCTACTCAAATTAAGACTTGATTTAGTTTTCCTGAAATCCGATCAGAAATGTTGATAAAATGTACAGAATTTTTAAAATAATTTATGAAAAAATTGTCTTCATATCTTTCCAATTTAGTATTTTTTCTAATATTTATTGTTTTAACAATTGTTGTTTTGTTTCTAGGTTAGATATGATATCCATGCCAAGCTGGTGAACTTCATGGCTCCGATGTTTGAAAGGATGGAGCGGGAGGAAACAAAGAACGAACTATTCTCTTCTCTGTTTGGAAAGCGGAAATAAAATAAATTTTTAATATTTTCAGAAAAATGTCGAGATTGATTGTTAAAAATTTACCTCTTCAGGAATTTATTGTGAAATTTTGACAAATAAATCAATCGTTTTTTTATAAAAATAAGGGAATAAAAAGAAAAGGCTGAACAGAAGAGTTTATAGAGGTTTTGTTATTATTTCGAAAGGATTGGATCACTATAATAGAATTCATTCTTTGCATAATTGTTCTATGGTTGAAGCATGAATGAACACATTGTTTCTATTTTGTTTTGAGATAGTCTTCTGTAGAATTGTGTTTGCTGTAGAAAGTAAATATTACGGGATTCTTCAGCTATTTTAAAATACAAATGATACACAATATTTAAAAAACGCGTTTTTAAACTAAAAAGTAAAATATGAATGAATGCCTGTGCGTAACGGTTACATTGCTTATATGCTTTAACAGGTTTCATTTAACTTGATAAATTAAATAATCATTAGGTTTTCAGCTATTAGGCTCAGACATTGTTCCTTATTAACAACTGCAGTCTACATACGACAATTAAACGCGATGAAAACTTACGTTGGTTTCGATCATTCTGCGCTTAAATGTGCTCTTAAACCCAAGAAAGGGCATATTATGTGAATTTGAAAAGATTAACAAACCCCCTAATATGGTTAAAGATTGCACAAAACACGGATCAGAAAGGGGAGTTCAGCGCGAGGATACCTGAAGTGATCTGAAACTGGGGGGGGGGGGGGGGGGGGGGGGGGGAACGGCGATAATGTCGAGTGCATTTCCGGTGTTTTGCTTTCCCAAAGATTCCACTTAATTTGAGATTGCTGGTTTTAACAAGTGCATTATCACAATATAGTTCTCTAGATAACTGAGGATAAACTAAGAAACAGCTTCAGCACCAAGGGAACTATCACTGATCTCCAGTTGAAGAAAACCAAGGACGGGAGGTTCCGCGGGTTCGCCTTTATCGGGTTTAAGACCGAAGATGAGGCTACAAATGCTAGGGATTACTTCAACGGAACCTATTTCGGAGCTGCTAAAATTGATGTTCAAACCTGCTCAGATCTGGGGGATGCGGTTAAATTTTCTAAAAAGGATTCTAAGCAAGTAAGGAATCTAAATATATACATTATTTCAAGAAAAAAGAGAACAAAAAATTTATTGTCTTTTCTGAAAAATGTACATATATTCTGAGAAATTACTCACAATGTAAAAGATTCTTCTATAAATTATAATTATTTTAAGTTAATGTTTTTTTGGAATTTGAAAATGTAATCTTGTACATTGGAAGTCACATTGCGTTTCATTCACTCCACTTCTCCATAATTTTATCAACAGTTTTTGAAACCTTAGTTATAAAATTTTCAAAGGTTCAACTTTTTATCTCATTTTTCACCTTAGCCCATATTTTTTTATAATAATGTAGTTCTTTCGTTTTTGTGTGTTTATGATAAGATAATGAGTGAATGTTTTAGGAGCCAGAGAAAGAAGTAAATGAGAAGAAATCCAAGGATCGAGAGAAGAAGAAGAGTAAAAAGGAAGTAAAATCCATCCTGGAAAAATACAAGGATGATCCGAAATTTCAAGAATTTTTAAAAGTTCACAAAACAAGTAAATCTGAATCTTGGACGAATGATTCAATCCTAGAGGTTGCAAACCTCTACTCCGGGAACAAGGAGAATAAGAAGATTGAGAATACCAAGTCGGAGGCGGACAAGGAAGAGGTTCAGAAGAAACCTGAAAACAAGGAAGATTATTTCCATGTTAAACTAACAAACCTTCCTTATAGATTCAAAAAGAAACACGTGAAAGCGTTCCTTGAGCCGCTGAAGCCACCCTCAGTTCGTCTACCGCCGAAAATTCATGGAATTGCATTCGTTGGGTTTAAAACAGAGAAGGAACGAAACCAGGCTTTAAATAAACACAAGAGTTTGTGGGAGGGACAACAAATATTTGTTTTTAAATATGAGAAGAAGGAGATGGTTGAAGCAACTGGGACGGGTTCTAACTCAAAGTGGAAGGAGCAGGAGGAGAGTTTAGTAGGAGCTGAAACTGTCGGTGAGTCAGGTCGGATTTTTGTTAGAAATTTATCCTACTCCGTGACAGAAGATGAACTGCAGGAACTTTTCTCCAAGTACGGTCCGCTTACTGAGGTAAACCTTCCTGTGGATAGAATTACAAGACGGAGTAAAGGGTTTGCGTTCATTACATTCATGATGCCAGAGCATGCGGTGCAGGCTTTTTCCGATCTGGACGGTTCCACTTACCAGGGTAGACTTCTTCATCTCATCCCAGGGAAAACTAAGGAGGGAGAGGATGATGAGACGGAGGAGAATCTTGGATACAAGAAGAGGAAGGAACAGAAGGAGAAGAAAGCTGCGGGGCAAACCCACAATTGGAACTCTCTATTCCTAGGCTCCAGTGCGGTTGCGGACATCATGAGCGAGAAATACAACGTTGACAAGGCGGACGTTGTTCTCGGAGACTCCGGCGGTAAATCGGCGGCGGTTCGTCTGGCTCTAGGAGAGACTCAGATTATTCAAGAAACAAAGAAGTATCTTGAGGAAGAAGGTATCATTCTAGAGTCATTTGAGAAACCTCCAACATCGAGATCAAAAACAGTGATCCTTGCCAAAAATCTTCCAGCTCACACTCCACCGGAGGAAATTAGAGATTTGTTTTCAACATACGGAGTTCTCGGACGGATCGTAATGCCTCCGGCAGGTATAACAGCAGTTATTGAATTTGCGGAACCCGGAGAGGCGAGAACTGCATTTACGAACCTTGCATACACTAGGTTTCACAATACTCCTCTCTACCTGGAGTGGGCTCCAGAGAAATCCTTCTCAACACCTTTCTCTGAAGTTCCAGTACAGAAACCTGAGAAGGTTGAAAAAACTACCACAGAACCTGAGGAAGAAAACGAATTGGAATCTCCTGAACCTGAAACAACATTATTTGTTAAAAATCTCAACTTTGACACAACAGATGAAGGATTAAGAAATCATTTTACAAAGTGTGGTAAGATATTCTCTGCTAATGTTGCAACTAAGAAGGATACAAAATCAGGAGACAAACTGTCGATGGGGTTTGGTTTTGTTACATATTGGCTGAAATCCTCCGCTACCCGTGCACTGAAAGAATTGCAACACAGTAGGCTGGATAACCATTCTCTGGAACTGAAGCGATCTAATCGCGCTGCGGAGAAAGAAAAACCTTCCCACAAAGAACCTTCAGTTACTGGAGAACCATCGACTAAAATTATGGTGCGTAACGTTGCTTTCCAAGCAACTAAACAGGAAATTACAGAAATTTTTAAAACTTACGGAGAGTTAACAGCTGTACGGTTACCATCTAAACTCTCCGGAACTGGGTCACACAGAGGATTCGCTTTTATCGAGTTTGCTACCAAGTCCGACGCGAAGAAAGCCTTTTCCGAATTGAGTGGAAGCACTCATTTATACGGGCGAAGACTTGTGTTAGAGTGGGCGGAGGCGGAGGAAACTGTAGATTCGCTCCGGAAACGGACGGCGGATCAATTTAATGCTGGAAAGTTGTCTGCTAACAAGAGAACAAGATTTGAGATGCCAGACGAGAAAGTTGAAGATGAAAATTGAGAAATATATCTTGTAACTCATTTATGTATTATGAAATTAAATTAAATTTTTCCATTTTTCTTCGAATGATTTACTCGAAAAATAATGTACAGTGAAGTTGCATAAAAATAAAATTAATTGAATAATGTTTGAAATTTCTAGAATCTTTCCCTTTCTCAGACCGATTTGCGGCATCTGCCCAAGTTTCCGGTGTGCGTGTTTAAATCAAATCTAACCTTTCACAATACTGTGTGATTTGTCCCAGCTGAGGGAAACTCTTATTGAAACAAGATTAAAAACTACCTCTCGTGCCTTCATCTGCCATTTTTATATTTATAAATTCGCGTACTTGATTGCTTAAGATCAGTCGGGGGTACGTTGTAAGAATGCTCCCCCCCCTATTTGTTCGTTCATTTAATTCGTGAAAATAGATTTACACTCAAGATTCACAATGGTACCCCTTGGAAACCTTTATCTCGTCAGTTATGTGGAAGACAGTGTCGTTTTTCTAGCTTGTAATTGGTTTGATTCTGATAATTTCTACATTAATGTTTACCTCAGTAGAAATGCGCAAGAAACTTGTTTAGAAGCCAGGGTTTTCAACTTTTTTTTCCGGATAATTTTTGTGTGCTAGTATCAGTGTGATATATTAGTAACTTTCGGAAATTAACGGCGTAACCTTTCTTGCGTGATTTTTAAATAAATCTGGGTGTGATATTTAAAAAAATTCTGGGCTGATATTTCCAATTGGAATTAATCCGGAATTAAACTTTTTTTGTGCAGATCACACACTGCTCTGTAAAGTATCAGGGAGGCAGATTTCTCTTAATTTAGAGAAAAGGTTTCGCCGTTAGTTTCCAAAAGCTTTTATTTTTATTCTGAATAGTTCCGAAAGGCCTTAACGGTCCAAATCGATTCGGGAAAAATTGGAAACCCTAAGAGAACCCGTAATTGAAAAGTTGATAATCTAATTTATACTTGATCAGACAAAGCATTTAGGGCTACCGTTGTGTATTGAGCATATTCATCTTAACATTGAGGGTTACTTGAAATCATATCAAAATTTCAAAAATTCTAATCAGTAATCAAGTCATATGTATATCTAAATATTTGAAATTTATGAAAACCTCTTCAAAATGTACAATTGTTGTATATTATCTTTTTCGTTACTATAAATGTATGTTATGAACCAAATATAGAATTGAATAATAGTAGTAATCAAGTCTTAGGTCGTACGAGCATTGTTATATTTTATTCATGAACTTAGTGCAATTCAACCATATTTTTTAAAGGATTGCTACCATCTCCGAGGAGCTGTGTATTGGATGTGGTATCTGTGTTAAGAAATGTCCGTTTGAAGCAGTTACCATTATCAATCTGCCGAGGTACAAATTCTTAAACCTTTTTATCTTCACCTTCACTATATTCGTTCCCAATCTTGTTTGCGTTACATTTTTCAGTATTTTCTCTGATCATAGGTGTAAATTAAAGTCGATTCTGTTACATTTTTCAGTATTTTCCCTGATCATAGGTGTAAATTAAAGTCGATTCTGTTACATTTTTCAGTATTTTCCCTGATCATAGGTGTAAATTAAAGTCGATTCTGTTACATTTTTCAGTATTTTCCCTGATCATAGGTGTAAATTAAAGTAGATTCTGTTACATTTTTTCAGTATTCAGTAATCTGGAGAAGCAGACTACGCACAGGTACTCTCAGAACTCCTTCAAGCTCCATCGTCTACCCATTCCTAGACCCGGAGAAGTTCTAGGTCTGGTTGGAACCAACGGTATCGGGAAATCTACTGCTTTGAAAATCCTGGCAGGAAAGCAGAAACCCAACCTGGGTCGTTATATCTCGCCCCCAGACTGGACTGAGATCCTTGCCTATTTCCGAGGTAGTGAGCTCCAGAACTACTTCACCAAGATCTTAAGGCCGTCATTAAGCCTCAGTACGTGGACCAGATCCCCAAGGCCGTAAAGGGATCCGTTCAGTCTTTGCTAGATAAGAAGGACGAGCTGAAACGGCAGGGTGAGGTTTGCAATATCCTAGATTTGAACAACGTGAAGGAGAGGGACGTACAAGATCTTTCCGGAGGAGAACTCCAAAGATTTGCGTGTGCGATGGTTTGTATCCAGGCTGCGGATATATTCATGTTTGACGAACCTTCCTCTTACCTAGACGTCAAGCAGAGATTGAACGCTGCTTTCGCAATCCGTAATCTAATTGCCCCAAATAAATTCATTATTGTGGTTGAGCACGATCTCTCTGTGCTCGACTATTTGTCCGATTTCGTTTGCTGTCTATACGGTGTACCCGGAGCTTATGGCGTTGTTACTATGCCCTTCTCAGTCCGGGAAGGAATAAATATATTTCTGGATGGGTTTGTCCCGACGGAGAATCTCCGGTTTCGAGAAGATGCTCTGATTTTCAAGGTTTCTGAGAACGCTACGGAGGAAGAGGTAAAACGTATGACGAGATACGACTATCCTCATATGAAAAAAACTATGGGAAGCTTCACTCTTGAGGTAGACCAGGGACAGTTCTCCGACTCCGAGATCCTTGTTCTTCTCGGAGAGAATGGAACCGGGAAAACTACATTTATCCGGATGATGGCTGGAAAACTACCACCGGATGAGGAGAGTGGAGAGATTCCGTCCTTGAACATTAGTTACAAACCACAGAAGATTTCCCCTAAATCTCAGGGTACCACTAGACAGTTGCTCCATGAGAAGATTAGAGATGCTTACATTCATCCTCAGTTCATCGGAGACGTCATGCGTCCTCTTAAGTAAGTATTTGCAACTCTTAATTTTCATATTCCTAATGTAATCAGTGTATTTTTGGCCGTTCGGTTTTTTGATATTTTTTATTCAGGATCGACGATATTATCGACCAGGAGGTCCAGAACCTGTCTGGAGGAGAACTGCAGCGTGTCGCCATGGCGCTCTGTCTCGGTAAACCTGCTGATGTTTATCTAATCGATGAACCATCGGCGTACCTTGACTCGGAGCAGAGATTGGTCTGTGCCAAGGTGATCAAGAGATTCATTCTGCACGCCAAGAAAACCGGGTTCATCGTGGAGCACGACTTCATCATGGCAACATATCTTGCGGATAGGGTAAGAACAATTTTCACATTTCAAGCGAGCTTAAAAAGTTAAAACATTAAACATATTGCAGCAGTACCCTATGGAAAATTTTATTCTTGTCAGAACAAGGCTGTTTTTGTTATTGATCTCATAAAACCATATACATAGAGAGTAAATTGCTGTAAGAAATTTCTGATATATATAAATTCTAACTTTAGAGTTTTTCAATATATACATCAGTATGTTTTAAATGTAGCTTTGTCTTTTTTTCGTTAATAAAAGTTTGAAGAAGAAATTAAACAGAAAGTATTTAATGTGGAATGATCTTTACTTTATATGTAAAAATTAACTGATGAATTATAGCTACAACATAAACTGCAAAATAGAAAGACTACATTTAATCAATCTGGTGGATTCCAAGTAGTCTCTCTATTCTACAGTTATATGGGTCTCACTATATTTTACAAAATATTTGTCCAAAGAGAAAACGCTCTCGCTTTCCTACTAGAAATTTTGGCATAAATATAGAAGAGCTGTTGTTTTCATGATTGATTTTATTACATTAGACATTATTAAGAATAATAAATGAAACTCGTCGTGTATCTTTGTCGCCTAATTGTTTTATGTTATTTAGGTGATCGTGTTCGAGGGAACTCCATCCATCTCCACCAAGGCCAACGCTCCCCAGTCTCTGCTCGGGGGAATGAACAAGTTCCTCCAGCAGCTTAAGATCACGTTCAGGAGAGATCCAAACAACTTCAGGCCTAGGATCAACAAGCTCAACTCTATCAAGGATTGTGAACAGAAACTGAACGGGAACTATTTCTTCTTAGAAGATTGAGATTAACCTTAGGTAGCATTACAATAGTTTTAATCCACACATTGTCAAATGTTTGTTCCCTTATACAAGTACACAAATGGTCGTTTTCTATAAATATACTTTGATTGTTTTCTTTTCTATTTATATCCAAGAAACTCTAAAAAAGACTCAACAGATGGAGCCCAGGGAAGGTGGTTTATGGGTGTTAAGAATTTCGAATTTTCGTCTTTTTTATAGTTTTTTAAAGAAAATTTGCGAAAGATAGAGCAGCAATTGAAAATATAAATTGAATCTTTAAGCGCTCAGAGCTGAACACTTTGGAATGAGATTGAGATATCCTTAATCCTGGATATCCCTACTGTATAAAAGTTACGTTTGATAACAATTACAGATACAATGCTATATCGATTGAATTAAAGTCAGCTGTTCACAAGCCGGCTTTTAGAGCTTTTAAGCAAATACAAATTTAATCATGTTCATATGAACCTATTAAAAATATTTTTTACAAATTTTAGGACTATCATCATTTTAAACGAGTCTTAACAAACATTAATCCAAAACTTGCATTTATTTAAGCGATGTTTAGTTCAATTGATATGACACAATTGACACCAGAAAAAAACCGGGTTTTCAAAAGTTAAAGAGTACATCTTAACATGATACGCTGATATGAATTTTATACTTCTTTCTTGGATATCTAATGCGTATAAAAAATAATCTCGGGTTTTGTAAAGCCAGGAGTTTAATCATTAATCTTGATATCCACCATTCTAAAGTTTTCAGCTCAGGAAGCGTAGAATAAGAAAATAAAACGTTATTTGAATTGTGTGCTTAAGTTTTATTTCGAGACCAAATAATAATAATAGTTTTTGAAGTAAGGCATAAAATGTTTTTTTGCAGGTCGGCCTGTGTTTTTTTAATTGTAAAAATCGATACCTAATAATAATTAAAATGAATGCTTCTCAGGCAGGTTATCTGAACCATGGGACGGCTTACATGGATCGTGGAGCCGGGATCTTGAACTGAGCCTGGAAGGTTGGGAAGGCTCTGAACTTGGTCTACTAATCCTGTATCTACCGCCCCACTGTATATCTGGGTATGGTTAAGGGGTGGTAGGTTGGGATCAGCAACGGTTATCCATGGACTAAACCCGTTCAGCTGCTGTGATAATATTGTATTCGTCCTTATCCTTATCGTCAATAAAACAATTCTAGCAATTTATTTTTGCATCTGAACAGAAGCTACATGTTTAATTTGCAAAATAGGACAAGTGCCAATTTGGCTCAGTTTCATTTGCCATAATATTTTTGCCATAAATATTTTTGTCATAATTACATTTGCCATAATACATTTGACATAAGTAACACTTGCCATAAGTCACACTTGCCATAATTACACTTGCTATAAATACTCTTGCCATAATTAAAATTAAATTTGGTTTAAATTAACAAACATATATTTATATATTTTTACAGTTGAATACAAATTACAAATCTAATGCAGAGACAGTTCATGAGCTATCAGGTTTAGGTACTCTTCTATGGGAAGAGTATTATACTGTAGGACAATGTTAGCAATCCTCTCACAGGTTTGAGGAAGAAATTAGGTTTCGAATTCTATCTGAGCACATTTTAACCGAACATTTCCAATATTTCACTTCTGTAGACGAGGCATTGGCTGCAGTACATAGGTGTAGTTGTTGCTGTCTCAAACCATTGGTTTACCCTTACTTGTGGTCTCAAAGGTCACCAAAGGGTCCTCCATTGTGAGAAAATATGAAGCTGAACTTGTGTCAACTGTTCTGTTTTAAAACAATGAGAAAACTAAAGTTGGGAATTTTCATGGGAAAATTTCCCGCATTTGCAATAAAAAAGATAGATTTATATCTTTTTAAAAGTTAGAAAATTATGACAAACATATTTATAGAAAGTATAATTATAGCAAGTATAATTATGGCAAAAGAAACTGAGCCGCCAGTTTATCTACTGTTCAATTAAAAAGAGCTCGAGCATGAAAATCTTAGCTTTCTTAAAACTAAAATTCGAAAACAAACTGCCCTGCAATCTGGAGTAGAGTACAAACAGCTTCTCCTTTGATCAGGATAGAAATAAAAATTCTAAAATGATTTATTCAAAAAGCACTGAATAATCCTTTACACATTTATGTTGGTAACAAAAATTGGATTTTAAGCCAAATTTCTCCCCTTTTTAAATTCTTTCTTTTTTCTTTTCATTCTTTGTTTTCTTCATTTTACAGTCTTGGAAAGTGTTCTCCACCCATCACGAGTAAAAGGGGGGGAAGGGCCCAATGTGACTCCCCTCTCTACAGGCCTGTTAGATACAAAGGCGTCAGCTTAGTAAAGTTACATCGTTATACGCTATATGACCTTACTGAAACTCCGACCTACTGCAATATCGGACCTATGACAGAAATGACAGCTGTTTTATTTTCTATTATTTGAGGGTTGGTTAGGTTTACACAATTTTTGGGAACGAGCGCTGTGGCTAGGAGGCCGAGAGACGCGGCTGTAGGATAGGCTAAGGGGCTGCGCTCTGTTTATCTCATTTTAACTGTAAAACCATGTGCTAGTAGGTCGGAAGTGTAGTATAGCGGGTGTGGCGTAGGTCAGATGTGGAGTACATAGTAAGTATGCGGAGGTCGAAAGATACACCATCATGAGCTTTGACGGAGGCCGTTCCTTCCATAAACTACATTTGTCGACAACTTGACGTCTCCTATATTGGTCGTCAAATTTACGGAGAAATATATCTATCAGAAAAGAATCTAGCACGAGACACCTAATGGCCAAAAGTAAATCGGATTAAAATAATTCTTTATCAAGAAGACGACATTTGCCATAATCTTTGCACACACTAGGTAGTAGACGCGCACGGTGCCGCATTCACTTTTCGTAGTTCGAAAGTTCGTAGTCGTACTCGTACCCAGAATAGAAAATTGACAGTGATGCGCTTGTTGAGCACTATGGGTCCACTGAAGTCGCTTGAAGAATCGAACATTTAAAACCATTTTCAATGGTTTATGCTTGAATACAAAAAAGAAGTCGTTGAAAAATCTATTGGTCGTTTTATCAACTTATTATGAGTTTTACGTCACTTGTTCCTTTGTGTACACTGAGAGGTCTTCAATATCCTATTTTTACATGAAGTAAATTGCTTAAGAAATAATCTCGGAATTATAAATAATCCCTGGATCATTTGAAATCAAGTTTGAAAGATACAAAAATGAGTTATTTTAAATCCCGGTAATTTCCTAGAGAACGTTTTCTTTGGATCCCCTCCCCCTCCTATCAATTATTGTACATTTTGTACATTGATCATGTGGCCACAGCGCCGGCCTCCTAGCCGCGGCGCTCGGCCCCAGAGCCTATGCTAGCCGCAGCGCTCGGCCCCCTAGTCCCTCTTAGCCGCAGCGCTCGGCCCAGAAATTGTCTTAAACTAACCCTCAATAGTAAAAAAGTAAATGTACAAAATTGATAATAGGGGGGGAGGGGTCCATAAATCGTTCTCTAGGACGGACCCTAAATCCCGATCGGTTAATTTATCTGGAGATTTCATATTTATATTCTAACCGGATGGTTGAGCTCATTGCAGATTACCCGTTTCCGAAATCTGTATGGGATTGGGGACCTAGCTTGGGAATTTCCTAGAATAAGGCTTTTGGACCCCCTCCACCTATCAATTTTTTACATTCATCTCATGTGTAACACATGGATAGTATTGGTCATGTGGCTGCAGCGCCCTGCCCCCTAGACTCGGCTCTCTAGCCTGTCCTAGTCGCTGCGCTCGGCCCAGATATTGTATTAACCTAACCTAACTCTAAAATAATACAAATTAAAAATTTAAATTTTTCTGAAATTTTTTTGGTCATGTACGAAATTGGTAGGAGGGGAGGGGGGTCCAAAAATTGTATCCTAGGACGGACCCAACAATTTAAAGTGACCCTCAATTTCTAGAACGGCATGTCTGATTCTCATCGGTACTCAACCTTTTCCTGATCAAGGAAGAATGAGATATCTTTATTTTTTTAGTTGAAAATTGATTGAACTGTGGTTTCTCAATGACACTTTTTTATATGAAGAAACCCCAGCTTGTTACTTACCTATAGTGGTATCATTGTGAATCAGAAAAATCACTCCCAAACGGAGTTTCACTTAAAATTTTACCATTAATTTTTAGACAAAGATGGGATCCGACCCTCAAGCCGCCAAGACGATTCAGAATAATCTGAAAGAGTTATTAAAAAATATTAAAAAATATGACGAACACAGGTATTTTGTTTCTTCATACTTTTATTTAAAAAAAAAACCAGAAATTAAATCAAAAATCACATTAAGTTACAATTGTTTTTTTTTCGATACTCTCTACTTGATTGGGAATATATATTATTTGAGATCAGTATTAACAGCTCTGTCATGGAAGACATATTTTAGATATCGGATTTAGTGTTGGCCTTGTATTTTGAAGGTATCAGAATAGACTCGGAAAAGATAAAGATACTGGAAAAATAAATAACAATAATAATGAATAATTTGAAATATGTCTCGAACAGTAATATTTAAAATTCGGTGATGGTGATGGACCAAACCTCTGTAGAGTAAAGAAAGTAGACGTTAGTTCCACATTTATTGAAAGTTTATTTCGGTCTGGGTTGACCCTCGTCAGTTCTAACGATATAATAACCATCAAAATCGATAAAAAAATAAACAAACAAAAAAGATAGTTCAAAATAAAAATTTGGGCTGTCAAATTGACATAAGGGAAAAGAACTCAGATTATGAGATGGAAAAAAGATAATTTGCAAATATTCACTTTTTAAAAAAATATAATAACTTACTGCATAAAAAAAACAAGAAGTAATAAGGCTCATTCTTTGGAGTAAACAATTAGGCAATGAACTTTGGCAATGTATATTTAATATTTGCAGCGTTTTTTCATGCATTACTGTCCAGTCCTTTTCACTCATGATTCTCTTATTTTTTTTTATTTGCAGAAGAGCGTGCGAGCCCGGACTTGAAATAATAAACTCTCTTCAAGACAAAATACATTCAGAAGAGAAAATATCTCCAGCAAATCAAATTAAACTACTAAAAGCTTATCAGCAGGAAAGTCAGGATACTAGTTACGGCTCTAAATTTAACATCTGATGAGTTATGACTCCTTTAAAATATTAAAAAATGCCCAGAGTCTAATTTGTCAAGATTAATAATTCCTAAATGATTAAATTAAAGCTCACCCATTCACTAAAAAAAGTATATAATTTTCAGATTTCTTAGTTATTAGTTTTGTGTTAATTTTTTTGTATTTGATCTATATTCCCTCCTACATATATTTGCGTATCCATGACACGAATTTATTTTGGTCCCAGCGGATCCGGATGCAAGCAGTCGGTAAATACCGAATTTAAAAGTTTATTTTTTTATAGACTATACAAGACTCTGAGAAGGAGGAGGAGGAATTGAGGAAAGCCCTAGATAAGATTTATAATATCCGACGGTTGAGAAACGAGATGAGGTTGGCTGCGCGAGCTTCTGGTAACAAGGAGAATATCCGGCGCGCTGCGCACATGAAAATGCTTGCCAGTTCAGCTCAAACTATCCCGCTCTGGGTTGGGAAGGACGGCGAGGAGCCCCCGGAGCTCTGTGGATCTATTCCAGCAGATCAATCATATATTGCGGAGCAGGTTTGGGGTTTAAAGCTTTGATGAAGTTTTATATATTAGGATTGCATGTAGGTCGGTTTTATTAGATTTTTTTTTCGAAATTGTAAAATTACTCGGTTGGATTGGGTTATGTTTTTTCTTTCAATGAATAATTGGTTTGTTTGTTTCTCGATGGAAAGTGGGATTTGTGTTTTTTTTGTTTCTCGATTGTTGGCGGTATTTGTGGTTTTTTTTCTGTTTCTCGATGGTTAGTGGGATTTGTGTTTTTTTTTGTTTCTCGATGGTTAGCGGGATTTGTGGTTTTTTTCTGTTTCTCGATGGTTAGCGGGATTTGTGGTTTTTTTCTGTTTCATGATGGTTAGTGGGATTTGTGTTATTTTTTTGTTTCTCGATGGTTAGCGGGATTTGTGGTTTTTTTCTGTTTCTCTATGGTTAGTGGTATTTGTTGTTTGGTTTGTTTGTTCCTCGATTGCTAGTGATTAGTGGGGTTTGTTGTTAGGTTTATTTGTTTCTTGATGGATAGTGGGGTTTGTTGTTTGGTTTGTTTGTTCCTCGATTTCTAGTGATTAGTGGGGTTTGTTGTTTGGTTTATTTGTTTCTTGATGGATAGTGGGGTTTGTTGTTTGCTTTGTTTATTTCTCGATGAAAAGTGGAGTTTGTTGTTTTGTTTGGCAGACAAATGATTGTTTGATATTTATGGAAGCTCGCTCAACTAAATATTTATAAAATGGTAAATTGAAAGATTTTTAAAAATTGCTTTTTAATACACCGTCTGAGAGGAAATACTTAAAAATTGACGAATCTAAAATTAAATCTGTGCAGGGGGATATGGTTGCAGCCCTAGTGAAGGGGCCTGAGGACGAGAACTGGATTCTGGCCGAGGTGGTTGCGTACAACTCCGTTACCGGCAAATATGACGTCGACGATATCGACGAGGAGCAGAAAGATCGGCACACACTCTCGAAAAGGTGCATAAGGGAGTTGAGGACACTGTGTTTAAAAATTGGAGAAAATAATATAATTTTTTGGGGAAACATCAAAAATCATATAAAATTAGAGTAGAGGTGGTGGGGGGNGGTCGGAGGCGGGGATACATAATAAATAAATCATTTAATTCTTATTTATATTTATTTTTTATTTACTTTTTAAAATTAATTACCTTTCTGCCGGAATAAATTAGATATGAATTTGTTTCTATTTCAGGAAAATTATTCCATTACCAACCTTCCGCGCCAGTCAAGAGACATGTCCTGAAGCTCTGTTTGACAAGGGGCAAACTGTAATGGCAATATATCCACAGGTAAAATAATTATCTTTCAGTTTTAGATGGATCTTTTGAACTTGTTTTACGATTAAAAGTGCTAGTGCCCCTTGAGGGACTGTAAAAGTCAAAGGTTTAAAAGGTTCAATTGTGAATCGTTCATGCCACAATATAAATGAAGGTTGACTGGAAATTACGTCTACAGTCCTCTCTTACTTTTTAATCCTTATATTGTCATCTTTTTTATCTCTGGAATAGAATATAAAGTCTGGTCCTGGAGGTGATTTGTTTCAAACTCCTAAGACAGATGTTTTATGAATCTATCGGATTTCTACAGCAGTCATCATGATATAAAAACATTTTAATTATTAAACCTAGTACACAATGTCTCATAATATTTTTCTTTATTCTTGCAACGGAGGTTTTACGAGTTTTTTTTATCTTTTGCGTACAAACAATTTTCTAAAAGCGAAGTTGAATTTTTTAATAATTTTTACTAATAATTGATTTGTTTCTAGTTACGCGGACGGATATTCTCCTCCCTTGAACGTAGCGCAGCGGTATGTTATCCAAGTTCTGGAGAAAAAGAAAGGAAAGTTATAACAAGAGCTGGACGGATTCTCAGGGATCAGCTCGGTTTCTCCATGTACCTCATTCAACAGTATAGTGTAAATATTAATATGTGTAATTATTTTTACAATTGTATTTGTAAATTTCAGACAAACGCATAAATGTTGAGATGAGATTGTTCTCAGCTATGGCTGATAAGGTTCCCATCGTTGTTATTCTAGGTAATAAATAATGAATAATTATCTGGGATGTGTTTTATATCTGGGATGTGTTCTGTATCTGGATGTATTCTGAATCTGGGTGTATTCTTAATCTGTTTGTATTCTTTATCTTGGGTATATTCTATATCTGGGGTATATTCTGTATCTGGGGTGTATTATACACTGATAGTAGAAATAATTACACTGAGCGTTTTTAAGGTTTATTATCTTGCGTATATTAAGGAGCTACTGGAGCTGGTAAGTCTCAGCTTGCCCTGGAGCTGGCTCAAAGGTTTGGCGGGGAGATAGTGAGTGCAGACGCTATGCAGATGTACAAGGGTCTCAATATTATCACAAATAAGGTAATCAACTTTCAGATGGAAAAGTAAGGATTTCTCATTCATTCTTGGATCTGATAAAGTATTTAAGGGTACTATTGTGTATACATGCTGGGGCCGGGGTCTCGTGAAATTATCTCTAATTTCCCAATTAATTCTTTGGATCCACTCTTAATATTATCCCTGATTTAGGTGACTGCTGAAGAGCAAAGACTTGTGAAGCATCATATGATCGATATCCTGGAGACAAATGCAGTAAATACTATTGTAGATTTCAAGAATAAAGCTCTACCTATAGTCGAGGATCTACTCAGGAACGGAAAGATTCCGTTTATCTGCGGCGGAACTAATTATTATATAGAAAGCTTGATCTGGAAAATATTGATTGACGAAGAAACACCGTATTTTGTTGACAAGAAGCGTAAAGGAGAGTTGGACGGAAATGACGCGGAAAGTAAGAAGTTGAAAAATAACGTATCGGAATATAATAATGATAAGCCCCTGGATCCAGATGAATTAAACCTGAACGAGATTGATTTTGAGAAGGATACTGAAACTATCCCAACTGATAAACTGTTCCGGAGTTTGCAGAAGATAGATCCTGACAGGACGGAGAAACTACATCCTAGAGAGAGAAGGAAGATCTGGAGAAGTTTACAGGTTTATTCTTATTTCGAAGTAATCAAATGTTGAAAGTTTATTACATGAAGCTAAAGGAATTGATTACTCGCCACATACTCTATATTTCTAATGCATTTATTTTTTACAAACTAACATTTCAAAAATTTACTACTCCATATAGCAAAATTTTTAATTTGAAATATCTAAGGTCTACAACATCGTGTGCAAAAATGACTAAGATTAGAAAATTTAAGATTTTGTCGAGTTCTCAGCTCTTTTATTTTAATTCCGAGTTCCAAGATAATTTACAGCGAGACCTTCAAAGCTGTAGAATATGAAGCCGAATCTTAAACTTAAGTTTTGGTCTGTATACTAATATTCTAATGACCCGTTGTACTTGACAACTTAAATATAAAGCTACTGTTATAACTGTTCTTTCTTCAACAACAGCAAATCATAGATAAAGATAAGACGACATTTTTCATCTTGAAAAATATAAATGTACAGAGATGTTTTAAAGATATTCCTATTATATAGATTAACTAGGTCGGTTGTGAACATTGGCTATGTCATTGAGTACTTGTGGTGTACATGAGTTCTGTAGAGAGAAATTTAAGTTAGTTTAGTCCTTCTCATGTCCTTCTTCAGTTCTCGTCAATATGATATATTGCTTAGTGAAATATTGTTGTTCAAATAGTTTCATTCCCGGAGTTATTTTACACTCTATTATGAAATCCATTAAAACACCAAACCACCCCGCTTATCATTGAAGTACACTTAGAAGTATGAGTTCGCGGACTGTACAATTCTTGGTGATTTTGCGTACATAAGCTATCTATGTTTATTTAATTATCTATGCACCAAATACGCCTCAGATTGCTTATATGTTGTCTTCCTATTCAACAGTTTAATCCGGATCCAAGGGGAAAAATATCAATCAAAAACTGCAAAAAATTACTCTGAAACCCAGTCTGAACTATTAAAAAAGAGAGAGATTATAAAAATTTCCTGATTTCTGAATGGTTCATCAAATTTTAGATTAAATAAGCGAAAAAATAAGACAAAAATTTGAAAATTCTGCTGTGTTAAAAAAAATCAGTAAATTTTAAAGAAACGACCTGGATCCGGATCCATTGTTTTTCCAGTGCGGAAATTCTGCTGTGTTGAAAAACTCGGGAAATTTTAAAGAAACAACTTGGGTCCGGATCCATTTTTTGCCAGGCGGATCCGGATCAAAGTTAAATGTATCTTAAACTCTTCAATATTGTTTTTTTTTATTTTAGATTTGGAAACATCACGGAGTTCGACACTCTGAGCTTATATCCAGCCAAGGCGGAGTAAAGGGGGGCGGGCTAAGGTTCCCCGCCTCTAGAATCTGTATTATTGAGGTGTGGAGTGATCAGGCTGTACTGGACGAGCGATGCAACAGGTGTGTACAGATACAGAGCCCCCACCACCACCATCCGTCGCAAACTAGAACCTCTCTGGCCCGAAATATATTTTCAATAAATGTGGAACTAACATCTACTTTTTTTACTCTACAGAGGTTTGGTCCATCACCATCACCGAATATTTAAATCAGAAATCAATGTTTCTCCCAGTAACCTCAAGCTCGGAATATTTTTATTTATTGTGAAAATATAAATTTTAAAAAGAAATGGTTTTGGGTAGAATGTATTAAGAAGGAGAAAAAAACTTGCCAAATGATTTTTAATTGTTTTCCAGCATTTTCGAAAATAATTTAATGATCCCCCCTTGCTAGATTGTTCCCTAAAAGGGCTAGAAATTAATCGGACTGAAGAATGTTTTGGTTTAGAAGGGTTGAGAAGATGATAGAACGGGGAATGGTGAATGAATTGATTTCATTTCATGATCAACATAATAAAACAAGGTAATTCATGCTGCTAGTTATTTAAATATAGATTAAATAATAATGATAATATTTTTCAAGTAAAATTTTTTTTTTTTTTAAATAAAGTTAAAGGAGCACGACGAATCATTAGTTTTAGATAATTAAGATGATTAATCTTTTAATTTTGTATCATTTAGAGTCTCATTTCTTTATTTAATTTTTTAATGAATCTTTTATTATGTCACCAGTGAGTTTATGCTATAATTTATGTCATTTTGTTGTTCAGGTTCGATGTCTCCGGTCCTGATTACAATCAAGGTATCTTTCAAAGTATTGGTTTCAAGGAGTTTCATGCTTACCTCAACCTGAACCCGGAGCAACGGGACTCAGAGCAGGGTAGGGCGGAGTTTAGTAAAGGAGTTCAACTTCTTAAAACAGCAACCCGGCAATATGCAAGGTAGGAAATAAATAGCTGACCATCTTTTTCAAGCTTTCAGATTAAAGAATTAAAAAGAAACTAGAAAGACTTTCAATTTTGATCCTGATCCTTAACCCGGTCTGCACTAAATATGTATTCGAATTTAGTCCGTAAAAGTATCTTCAAGTTCTACTTATTTTTAGTTATTAGATCTTTGAAAGCAAAAAAACCCTTCCGACCAATCTTAAACTTGATCCCACTTTATTGATTGAGGCTGAAAGGCCAGCCACAATAATTCTTCGTCCGAGTCACATTCTATTCATTATCTCCTCCGAGCCACCTCCAAATACTCAGCCCTGCCATATTTTTCTGTTGAAGTACTGAATTCTTCTGTTTTGAAACAAAACATAAATTTAATCTCTGAATTATGTCCTAAAGTAACCAGATTTAAGAAAAAAGGGACCTTTAGGAATTCGACATTTAATAAGATAATTGTGTAAGAACGATCAAATAGTGGATTGGACGAGGAAATGAGGAGAAAGTAGAATTGTTGTGGCTGGCCTACCTAACTTGTCATAATCAATATATAGTTTACTCCCCTGTTTGTTTCTCTGCTCTACAACATCTGATTTATCTTATCCTTGTAAAACATGTGTGAAATATTTAAGTGTTATTGTGGACCTCCGAAACATATGTATCAATTTTGGTCTGTTGAAAATATTGATATACATTAGTTCTAACGAAATATTTATATTTAACATGAGCAACAATTGTCTCTCTCCTGTCTTGTGCAATGTGCACAGAGTTCCCAGATGGGTTGGATTGAAATTCCCTAAAACAAGAGCAATCCACCCCAAAAAATTCCCCAAATGTAAGTTTTAACAGTAAAGAAAAAAGCTCTGAAAAGTTGCAGGTTTCCTAACTTTTCTACTTAGTTATTTGCCTTCTCATTTTTCCAGCTCAAAACAGAGCTATTTTCAGATCCCATAATTAGTTTAGGGATATCCTCAAATCTTCAAACAGTTTAAAATCCCCAAATCTGACTCTTTTAGGGGATGAAATCTCCAAATTGGCAACTCTTAAGTTATCTTGTGTAACCTACGGGTTTTGTAGACGGCAAGCGAAATGGATGAAGAAAAGATTTCTTTTGGAACATCGTGAATCTCCGGCAGTTTATAGAGTGGACTCCACAGGTATATTTTCAATTCTTAATTATTTTTTTATTGTATTTTTATGTCAAAGAAAAGAAAAAAGCTTGTTTTCTCGTTTCATACTTTTTCCAACAAGTCTAACTACTTCTTTTAGTGGTTACATTTGGTACTGCATATATGCATTACAAGGGACATTAGTTCCAAACAGTTGGCTCATTTCTAACACTATTAGTTCCAAACTAACAGTTGGCTCATTTCTAACACTATTAGTTCTAAACTAACAGTTGGCTCATTTCTAACACTGAGTGCTAAAATGGGAACAAATTGAAAAACTGGGGTTTAAGGATCCCGGCCCATATTGCGAGTTAAAGTCGATAATAAAAACTGTAACCAACGTTTTATTAAGCATCACAAGGACAACAATTCCAAATTTTATATCAAAACCCTTGACCTTTCTCAAGACAATGTCAGGTTTTCCATTTTCGAACATATCCTGAATATGAATTATCGTCGTGTTTTCGTGACAAACCCCGCTTTCCTTTTTTTGAGTATAATCCGCAATTCAAAATAAACCTCATTTTCATAACTTACAAAATAAATCCCCGAAAGGAAAAATTTATCTAATGCCGCCTAAGTTAACTGTTGAATTATACTTTGAAAGTTTTCACCTTTTCTTTGAAATAAAAAGACACTAAAGTTGATTTAGTTTCCCGTATTTCTAGTTAAATCTACATTGCAAGAACAAACAGAATTAATATTTTGATTTCTCAATGCCGTGATATTTTTTTGAGTACAAAAGAACAAAATGTTTTTATTTTTCATTTTGGTTATATTTCACCGTATCAAAAAATCTTGTTTTGTGAAGTCCGTAAATACTTGAAAATTGACATTTATATGAATTCGAGTATTGTCTCAAAACCAGGTTGTTTCAAAAACGCGAAATGAGCTAAAATGCGGTATTTGCTTCAATACAGGGATATATTCGAAAATGAAAACGAGAATCATCACAAACTAATTCTCACACCTTATTATTAGTTTAAAGTTGACAATTCTTGTTTTAATAAATAATTTTAGCCATTTTTAATAAAAGTATACAGTGTAGTTTTGTTTACCTCGGCTTGGATTTAAAGATATTTACGTTTGGAAAAGATAACTTTGCAGATTTCGCCGCTTACACCGAGTGTTAGCAATGAGCCAAGTGTTAGCTTTGGAATTAATTTCCCCTGTATTTTGCATATACTGGTTTGTAAAACTGCAATTTTATTATAGTCGGCAACCCTGAGTCAGGAACGTTTTCTTGCGTACTCTTGTACATAGTACAGTAAACAGTGTACATTTGTGTACAGTGTACATGATCCCTGTGTATATCCTAACCTTTTCTTAAATTCGGAACTAGTTTCAGTGTAAACAAATTCTTAACTTCTAAACAATGTGTACCTATGTGGTTTGATGTTTGTGTTTCTCAGACGTGCTTTTTCCTTCCATATTTGTAAAATCTCGGTTATATTTATAAAGTAAGATAGCCTTAGAATTTTTCAAGATTTAATGGAAGTCACTTGTAATTACTTGAACAGTCCCTTTAAAAGTTTAAGATTAAGTTTAAGAATTGAATGGTTTGTTCCTACAGATCCAACCCAGTGGGATGAGAAGTGTTATAAACCTGCGGAGAGAATCCTTCAAGCTTTCACTGAGGGAACTGAACCCGACCAGGCCCCCCTGGCCAGGTTAACCATCAACCCGGAGCAGATGGATGAGAATATGAGAATCCTGCACTGTGATCTGTGCCAACGTGATTTTACCGGATCCCATCAGTTTAAAAACCATTTAAACGGAAAGAAACATGCTGCCGTGTTGAAAACTATTGCGGCAGCGGAACCTCCTTTATCTCTAGTTCTCGTCAAAATCGACGAATCTCGAAAGGTTGAGACGGCCAAGATTTTGAAGAACACATTTGAGATACCTTTGCACGAGGTGTTGGCGCTGTTGGAACGGATTCCTTGTGAGATTACCAGGCTGAAACCAAGGACGAGGGCGGAGAACATGAAGAAGTGTCTTGCTAAGCACGGGATACACCTGGAGATTGAGCAGACCAAGATGATAGATTAAACCAAACTTGTGATATTGTCAAGACTGGAGAATAATTTCTACCAACCCAATTCGTCCCCCCATTATTAACGAGCAATATCGTTAAAATTATACTCTAGTATGTTTATACTAGGCATCTTCTATTTAAATTGTGAAGATGTTCTTTTTGTTCAAATTTTAAAACAAAGATCTTTTGATATTGATATTGATCTTTATATTTATAAAGTGTTCTATTCTTTCTTAGGATGAGATTGAACCACCGTATCCGATATAGATTTGGTTTTTGATATAGTTATGTTCCATCCTAGGCTGAGATTGAACCACCGTATCCGATATAGATTTGGTTTTTGATATAGTTAAATATACGTATTTAAGATCTTAAATCCTCTTTCTATCTCCCCTCCCCACCCCTGTCCTTGCTCCTCCATCTGCCTGGATTAGAGTGTCCCAGTCAAAACCGGTTTTGAAATCATATGTTTCTGCCCGCCACACTAGAGAATGATAAGCTAGTCTCCCACACTTGATATTAAACTCCCCTTCAACCCAACCTCAACTCTGATAAAGGTAGAAATTATTCTCCATGTTTCAACTAGACCTTGTTACGTTTATTCATTTTAACCTAGTTGGGATTACTTGCAGAAACTAGTCATTTTATTTAAAATTATAAACTATGGATCTGGAACTGGAGGATATTCGCTTTTCCCATCAAAAGTAAGTAGTTTTATCCTGAATTTGTTTCCAGAGCTGAACTCTTCTTGTGAATTCCAGTGGATTACCGGTGAGAAGAGAGATGGCGGGTTCCTTGTTTCGGTCGGAGCTCATGAGTCGCTGCCAGCTCTACCTTCCTCCAGAAGCTGCGTTTAACTGTATAGCAGAACTTGGAGAACTAGGTTAATACTTTATATTTTATTCTAGTTCACAGATTTGAAAGGAACATATACAATGAGACTCATCAAAAGGTGGAATAGGAAGATGCGAAATTTAATCCTTCTAATGTGTTTTTAATGATAAAGCAAGCTATAGTTTTATTACCATAAATAGGGTCTGTCCTAGTATACGATTTTTGGACCCCCCCCCGTCCCCTCCTATCAATTTTGTACATGACCATTTATTTTTCAGCAAATTTATTATTATTTATTTTTTTGTTATTTAGGGTTAGGTTAGGTTAAGAGAAGGCCGAGCGCTGCGGCCACACTTTCTGGGCCGAGCGCTGCGGCTAGGATGGGCTAGGGGGCCGAGCGCTGCGGCCACGGGTTAGGGCCGAGCGCTGCGGCTAGGATGGGCTAGGGGGCCGAGCGCTGCGGCCACGGGTTAGGTTAGTTAAGACACTTTCTGGGCCGGCGCTGCGGCCACGGGTTAGGTTAAGGTAAGAAACTTCTTGTCAGACCCATGTACAAAATTGATAGGAGGGGGGGGGCACTGGGGGGGGGTCCAAAAATCGTATACTAGGAATATACCCATAAATACTCCAGTGTAAATAGCTGGGTTTCATCATCATTAAAATGTTTTATTTCATAACTTGAGTTTAAAAGTCCTTCTATTCTGAAGTTTTATGGGTCTCGCTGTAGCATTTTATCAGTTTCAAGTTTTAAGATTTGAACTATTTTTTTTTTAAAGGGGGGGCTTCTCAAGATTTAGATATATTAATATATTAGGCTTGGTTCAATTTGTGGATATCAACCCAGATGTATCTTCCTTTCAGCGCCAGTTTGTCAGGTAGGATTTCTGCTTACCCCTTGCTAGTTCATCTAAAATCGGAACTTTTTTGTCTTGAGCATATGATCCCGATATCCAATGTGGGCACTTAAACATTCTAGAAGAAATGCTTGATCCTGCAGTAAAAGTTATGGTTGCTTGATCCATAGTTTCAGAACACAAACGTTTTGACCTTTTTTGAATTATGCAGTAAAGAACCATTAAACCCAAACAGTGTACTTGACAATCTATTCGAGTAAACCGTCCTTTTCAGAAATGTCGCATTAGCTCTTGAGGTTTTCAATTCTTGAACTTATTTCTTGCTAAAATGTTTACGGCACTTTATGAAGTTCAGTTGAAAATTTCAAAACCTTCAGCGATATTTGACAAGCAAAAGAAATGAGAAAATGGCGCGAATTCGACTGTTTTCACTAAATGTTTTTGTATTTAGTGAGATAAAGAGATGTGAGGAGATGGAGCGTAAACTCCGGTATATTGAGACTGAGATTAGAAGAGAAGTGATAGATATTGATCAGGTATATAAACATCCATCATTTTGGTTTCCTACAATGTCTCTTGCAATTTCGTTTTCTTTGGAAAAAGTCAACGAACAATATATTAATTACGTCTACGCAGAACATTAAGACAATAAAAATGATAGTCTGTGTACAATTGGATTCGAGAAGAATCAGTTCAGCTCTACTTAATAATAGGATCCATTTAATTTTGATCCGGATCCTTAAAGCAGAAAGGTTGAGATTAAACCTTCAGCTCCGGGAGAGATGGGTTTAGTATGTAAGTTTTGTTCTATCCCAGGATGAGATTAAACTATCAGCTCCGGGAGAGATGGGTTTAGTGTTTAAGTTTTGGTCTATCCCAGGATGAGATTAAACCATCAGCTCCGGGATAGACGGGATTATTAATATAGTTTGTTCTATCCCAGGATGAGATTAAACCATCAGCTCCGGGAAAGATGGGTTTAGTAATTAAGTTTTGTTCTACCGAGGATGAGATTAAACCATCAGCTCCAGGAGAGATGGGTTTATTAATAAAGTTTTGTTCTATCCCAGGATGAGATTGAACCTCCAGCTCCGTGAGAGATGGGTTTATTAATATAGTTTGTTCTATCCCAGGATGAGATTAAACCATCAGCTCCGGGAAAGATGGGTTTATTAGTAAAGTTTTGTCTATCCCAGAATGAGATTGAACCTTCAGCTCCGGGAGAGATGGGTTTATTAATATAGTTTGTTCGATCCTAGGATGAGATTGACCCTCCAGCTTTAGCTCCGGGAGAGATGGGTTTGTTGTGCAGGGTGAAGAAGACTGGATCAGGAGAAATATTTTATTGTGATCTGACTTTCGCTCCGGGAAAGAAGGGTTTATTTATAGTCTTGTTCTATCTCAGGATGAAATTGAACCTAGAGCTCCAGCTCCGGTTCCGGGAGAGATAGGTTTCATAATAAAGTTTTGTTCTATCCCAGGATGAGATTGAAACTCCAGCTCCGGTTTAGAAGGGATTCATAATAAAGTTTTGTTTTATCTCAGGATGAGATTGAAGCCTTCAGCTCTAGCTCCGGGAGAGATGGGGTTATTAACATAGTTATGTTCCATCCTAGGATGAGATTGAACCACCGTATCCGATATAGATTAGCTTATTAATATAGTTCTATTCTTTCTTAGGATGAGATTGAACCACCGTATCCGATATAGATTTGGTTTTTGATATAGTTATGTTCCATCCTAGGCTGAGATTGAACCTCCGTCTCCGATATAGATTTGGTTATTAATATAGTTATGTTCTATCTCAGGATGAAATTGAACCTCCAGCTCCAGCTCCGAGAGAAATGGTAGAACTAGAAAATAGTCTAACCACAGTGGTAAGTTTTCTCAAACCCTCCAGTCCTAAAAGTTACACAGATCTCCTTAAGATAAGTGTCGTTAAACATGAAAAAGGAGTATAGGCCAACACCGAATTGTATTTGGAATCGAATGGTATGAACCTTATGTTTTATATGAGAATTCAGTTAAATCCGGCATCTGGAGACATCTAGCGGCCATTTATTTTCCTCCAAACTACACACCTCAATATAAAGTAAAAATAAATGTGAGTGACTCGATTTCAATTTGGAATGTTTTTACTGCAAAATGTTGAGGGTCAGTTTGAAATTAAATGAATGAATTATGTGTTAACTACAATATATCAAATCGGGGATCTTAACTGGATTCTTACTATTTTCTCATTGCTTGAACATCAGATGAAATAAAGATTGATACCATTCGATCTCATTTAATTAAGAAATAGCCTATACCCCCTATTTTTAGGCAAGACTAGCTTTAAACTTGAAGATACTGAATGATGATGATTACCAATAAATAAAGCTCTTCGCTCATCTGGCAAAACGGCTGGACCGAATAGGCTGAAATTTTTTTTGGGAACCCATGGGTTTTCTGAAAGTAAAATATTAAAAGAAATTCTAAACTTTTATTTTTGAAGTTCAAATTTTTTTTTTTGAAAATCAGTTTTTCCATCAACAAATTTTTTTTATCTATCTATCTGATGGTTTGTTCAGGAGAACAACTTGAAGGAGGTGAACACTAACTACGTAGCACTGAGGAAGAACCACCTCGAGTTGACGGAGTATAAAAGTATGCTCAAGAAAACAGAGATATTCCTCTCCGAGAGCAGATTCAATTTTCCAGACGCAGACGAGGGAACAAGTAAGTTGAATTATCGGAGTGCGGAAGGAAGAAGGAACACCATTGTTTAAGTCCCGAGTTTCCTTTTTGGGGTCTATACATTTGCGCATAATTTGATTTAAGAATCATAAAACATAAAGAGAATTTAAAGAAACCACATTCAATAATATGTTTTTAACAAAAATATTGGTATCTACAAAACTGCCTTTCCTCATTCATGAAACCGGGTTTCGAAACTGGGTTTCATTACGATACTCTGTATTAAGTTTCGGGCTCTGAAATCCTCGAAGATTTATGTTCACACAGTTTATGGTGGGAATTCAAAAATATTTAGTGTATTCTATAGATTAAAGATGGGATGATGTAAACACTGCAGTACACAAACATCTTGCTTAGTTTTTTCTTAATCATTGCATCATGTAGTGAATAGAAAAATTCGGTTTAATAATTGGGCCCATCTATGGTTGGGAGGGGGGGGGGGGGCATCAGAAAATAAAAAAATAAACTGGAAGAATAAAATTTAATTTACTATGACTGGAAGGATTTATTTTATTTTTGCTTATTTTGTAAAAAATCTTTTTTTCAGTTCTTGCAGCACAGCATGTTTTAAGCTTATCTATTCTTTCTTTTATGTAGAGTAGAAAATAAAATGGTGACGGATCCTAGATCTAACATTTCATTGATTTCAAACTAATTAATATTTTGTTTCAGGATTACTTGACGGTAAGAATAGAAGCCTAGGATAATATTTCTCAGTATTATTAGTTTATTGTAGTGCACTGTTCAGATGTGTGCCAACGTTTTATGAATTCAAGCAGTGCTTAGGATCCATTCCTTCTTTTCACTCGCATCCGGATCCGGATAAAACATTTTTTCAATCTTTTAATAAGCAAAACTACGCAATTTTTTGTGATAATTTGTATGATTAAACTTGATTCAACAATGAAAAAAGCTTTTTCGATCTTTAACACTTTGTTTGGAGAACACTTTTTTAGTTTAAAAGTCTTGATATTTGTCCTTTGGACCCTGATTCTAAGCACTACATATTTGTACACTGTACAGTGCACATTTCAGTTGAGCAGGAGCATTGATTGAACACTAATGTTATGTTCTTCCATTGAACTTGGAAGGAGTAACTATGATCATCACTCATGATTTATTCTTCTCTGCCCCTGCTCATCCCATTTTCTGTTTTTTTGCATGCTTTTCGGGAATACAATTCGACACATTTTGCATAGATTTATTTTAGAATTTAAAATTACAAATGGCAATTTTCGGTTCTCTGCTTTGAATTAGCAATTTTTTTATCACAATTATTGGAATTTCGCATGCTTTTCAAGCCTAAAAGCTTTTTGCATATAATAGGATTATTTAGCTGGGATGTGTGTTTGTAAAAAGATAAGATCGAGATAAGTTTTTTATTTATTTTTTTTTGTTGAAGATCTGGACGATAATGGAGGAATGGACGTGAAGGATGATCAGTCCTCGATGAAGTTTAATATTGTGGCGGGGGTAATTGACCGGGCCCGCCAGATCGCCTTCGAGAGGATGCTGTGGAGAGTGTCCAAGGGGAACGTGTTTATCAAGTTTGCTGATATTGAGGAGAGAATGGAGGATCCTAAAACCGGAGGATCTCTTTACAAATCCGTCTTCATGATTTTCTTTCAGGTTAGATATTTTCTTTAAACACAAGTTTAAACATAAGTTTAACCTTGGTTAATTCTTCCTATCTATTTTTAACACAAGTTTAACTTTGGTAAATTCATCCTAACTATTTTTAACACAATTTTAACCTTGGCTAATTCATCCTATCTATTTTTAACACCAGTTTAACCTTGATAAATTCATCCTATCTATTTTTAACTCCAGTTTAACCTTGATAAATTTATCCTAACTATTTTAACACAATTTTAACCCTGGCTAATTCATCCTATCTATTTTTAACACAAGGTTAACCTTGTTTAATTCATCCTAACTATTTTTAACACAATTTTAACCTTGGCTAATTCATCCTATCTATTTTTAACAAACTCAACTTTTTATCCAAAGAAAAAAATTAACTTTCCTTATACATTACTTTTTTGGTTTTAATCTTAATATTTTTTGAAATAAGGTTCTTATAGTTTTATTTATCAGGGTGAGGAGTTAAAAATCCGTGTGAAGAAGATCTGTGACGGATTCCATGCTTCTATTTACCCCTGCCCGGAGAAGGGTTCGGAGAGACGGGAGATGATGATTGGAGTTAATACTAGACTTGAAGATCTTCACACTGTTCTCACTCAGACTACAGAGCACAGGCATAGACTGCTCCTTGCTGCTTCAAGGACTATCAAAGCTAGTTATGTTAAGGTATCTTTATTTTTCAACTCCTGTGGACATATTGCTTAGTATTATATGACACCGGAATGGGAATATCTCACCGTCCTTAAACGGACTGTAAACTTTATTTTAAGAGACCCTTCATTTACAGAGCGACATGACCAATTCACAACGGTACCATGAAACTAATCGTCGTGCTTCTATCTTGAAAATTTAGTTTTAACAATTTTTGTCATTATTAGTGCTTAGGATCCGGATTTTGGCTTCCTGGATCCGGATCCGCAAAAATATGCGGATCCAAGGGGTAAAATATCAACCAAAAACTGAAAAAAATAATACTTTTTTACTCCTAAACCCCAAATCTGAACTTTTGAATAAAGAGAGATTATAGAAATTTCCTCATTTCTGAATGGTTCATCAAGTTTTAGGATAAAAATAAGCGAAAAAAAATAAAACAAAATCTGAAAATTATTTTTTGTTTAAAAAAAATCTGTAAATCTTAAAGAAATGACCTGGATCCGGATCCGGATCTATTTTTCTAGTGCGGATCCAGGATCCTAAGCACTGCTCTCTTAGTTCATTCTAGATCCGCCGTTCATTTTTATAGCGAACCGCAATTGAAAATATTTAATTTCTAGATGGAAAAAGAGAATAATTCCATCAGTGTAGCTCACACAAAAGTTTCATAGGAACCGCTGTAAATATACCTGCCACTTCTCAAATGGACTTGGATTATTGCTTAAATGCAATCCATTAAACTAATCTATATTGATCTGTTGAAACTTTTGTGTTTTCTTATTTTCGTATTCTGAAATGAAATAGCTGAACGAAGTTCAGGCTAAACTTGCATTATTCAGGTTCGGAAGATGAAGGCGATTTATCACATCCTAAACCAGTTCTCTCTGAGGGACGCTCAACGGGTTCTGATCGGTGAATGTTGGATGCCAACCTCGGATATTCCTATGATCAAGAACGCGATTAATATTGGAGCACAGAACGCTGGTTCCTCTGTTACTCCGACCCTGGAACGTGTTCCTACGACGGAGGAACATCCTACATTCAACAGAACTAATAAATATACTGCAGTGTTCCAGGTAAATCTATTCATTCTATTCTGATTAGTTTAAATCCAAACTTCTTAATTGTCCCTACAGATAGCAATTTTATAATTTTTGAATGGTTAGGTCTGCTTGATCCATTGATAAATCGTAAGTGACAAAAAGAAAGTTATCGCGCTAATGAGTCGAATGTGGTTCGCGGACTAAGTCCTCTATCGTTAAGATTATTGTTAATAATTTAATTTTTTGTTCCAGTCTCTGATTGATGCCTATGGAATAAACTCTTACAGGAAAACATAATCATTTATCATTATTATTTGTATACAGTATTGAGTTAAAGGATAATTTTGGTTTAAGATACTTTAACTACTAAGTAGAAAATAGCATAAACTTTTTGGTAAGTAATTACTTGAGACAGGTAATAAAAATGTTGTCAATGGAAAAATGTCAATAACGTACGTCGTACATCCTGCTTTTTTTCTGAAAGCATTTTTAGTATGTCATCACAACAACGTATTTCATCTTGAAACCTCGCAAATATTCTTTTGTAAAATGATTTGTATCTGACTAGAGAGGTGAACCCCTCCGTTTACACCATCGCCACCTTCCCCTTCCTGTTTGCTGTTATGTTTGGAGACGCTGGTCACGGTCTCATCATCCTCGTGGCGTCCTTGTGGATGATTATTGCAGAGAAGAGCTTGGAGAAGAAGAGAGAGATTTCAGAGATATTTAATATCTTCTTCGGTGGACGATATATTATATTCCTCATGTCAATATTTTCTATTTACACAGGTATTTTTTTAATAAGAACATTGTTTTGTTTTATAACTTTCAGTCAAAAATAAACTGGTGTTACCCTGATGCAACTATAACCTGAACAATATGTTTTAGGACTGATCTACAACGATATATTCTCTAAATCCTTTAATATATTCGGGAGCTACTGGGCAACCAACCTCACCTTCTCAGCTAGCGCTGACGAACCTATTAAGCTTGGGGATGTACGAATGCTTGATCCTAAGCAACCAGAACAGTATATCGGGAATCCTTATCCGTTTGGTATAGATCCGGTTTGGCAGTCCGCTACAAACAAGATCAGTTTCCTGAACACATACAAGATGAAGATTTCCCTCATTTTCGGGGTCATCCATATGTCCTTTGGTGTCGCTCTCAGTCTTTGGAACAAGGTCTCCAAGAGGCATTATCACGAGATTTTCTTGGAGTTTTTCCCCCAGATTATTTTCCTTCTCTTCCTCTTCGGATACTTGATCACCATGATATTCATTAAGTGGGTTCTCTACGGAGCTAACTATACTGGACAGTGGAGCGAGCACTGTGCTCCTAATCTTCTCATCACTTTCATCAACATGATGCTCTTCAAGTCCGCAGATATTGACGAGAAGCTGAAGGATTGCCACGTGGACGGGATGTACTATGAGATCTACATGTACAACGGGCAGGCGGGTTTACAGAAGTTCCTGGTTATATTTGGAGTTCTTATGATACCAATCATGTTACTTGGCAAACCTCTTCATCAAATGTACAGGTTGTATATCTGAATTCGATGGTTTACGTTTTACAAACATCATTTTTTTTAAATTCTATTTTTTATTTTAGGAAGAAGCGAGACCGCGCTCGACGAGGAACAGCTCACCATGAACTTCTGGAGGAGTCTAGCAGTGATAGTGGGGAGGGTGAGGAGGTTGAGGAAGAGGGAATGGGAGAAATCATGATTCATCAGGTTCAAACCTTTATTATTCCTCCTCTCACGTTTTCAAAAAGATTATTTAGATTTGAACGCAAAGGAATTGAGTCTTTGCCACAAACTCTCTAATCACTATATCTTTGGAACCAAATGTTGCAGACCTTAGATATTTCAAACTATGAATTCTGTTAGATCAAATAATCTTGAGTTTGAAATATCAAAGGTTTACAACATCGAGTTCTAAAGATATTGGGGTTTAAATATATGATTTTTTTCTAAAGACTCAATTCCTTATAGTTTATTGTATTGAATAAGATCCATAAGGAGAGAGGAAAAGGGGTTGATTGCCGTGTCAGAAACAATAATTTTTTATTAAATGTTGTTTGTTTACAATTAAACTAGTTCATGTACTGTCTAATACGTCACAATAGAAAGTAAACAACCTTTATCTAGTGTTATGCTTCTTGATAAACTTTAAGAAACTGTATTAATTAAGTAAACATACATAATCTGGCTGAATGTCGGATGTCCGTTGTAATAGGTCTTCAACAATGATTTTTTCTACAAAGATAAAATGCAAATCAATAAATAATAAATTAAATAATTACCTCACAACCTGTATAAACGATATCTCAATCTTGATTTTGCAAGTTCACTTTGAGTTTGAAATGTGGAAAGCTGGTCGTCTATAAATTCTAATTGATTGATTGATACGACAGTTATATTTACCTTAGAATATATTCCTTCCCAAATATATAATATTTGTTTTATTTCAGGGAATTCATACTATTGAGTACGTGCTAGGCTCTATATCTCACACTGCGTCCTATCTTCGTCTTTGGGCGCTCTCCCTCGCTCACGCCCAGCTCTCTGAGGTCCTTTGGTCCATGGTGATGAGAATGGGGTTCACGAAGGGGTATGCAGGATGCATCATGCTTTATCTCATCTTTGCATTCTGGGCATGCGCAACCGTCAGCATTCTTGGTTAGTATCCTTCTCGTACATTCTACATTATTACGGGAAAATATAATTTACTGAATTATTTGAGTTCTTGAATCCCTGTATTGCAATGCTTAGGATCCGCACTGGAAAAAAATTAACCCGGATCCAGGTCATTTCTTTAAGATTTACTGATTTTTTTTTAAACAAAAAGTAATTTTCAAATTTTTTGTTTTATTCGCTTATTTTTATCCTAAAACTTGATGAGCCATTCAGAAATGAAGAAATTTTTATAATCTCTCTTTTTAGGTTTTAGGAGTAAAAATGTTTTTTTGCAGCTTTTGATTGATATTTTACCCCTTGGATCCGGATCTGTGAATACGCATATTTTTTGCGGATCCGGATCCAGGAAGCCAAAATTTTGCGGATCCAACGGATCCGGATCCTAAGCACTGCTTTAATGCATTCTCTCGATATATGAAATATTAAAATTCCGGTTAAAAAAAACATTAAACTTTTTGGGGGTTATAATGATTAGTAAACCTTCATTTTGCAGTCAGAATCTGAAGGAAAAAGAAAAGTTAAAAGTTGAATGTAAAAACAATGTTTTGGGAATACTATTGCTTCCGTAGTCTGCATTCCACCTACTTGATACAGTGCTTTATCAGATGATTTATCTTTTCAGTTTTGATGGAGGGTTTGTCGGCGTTCCTTCATACACTACGTCTGCATTGGGTTGAATTCCAGTCCAAGTTCTACGAAGGAACGGGATACTCATTCGTTCCATTTTCATTCAGGTAAACAAAATAGCCGGTGTTCTTTTTTTTATGGTGTACTAGCGAAGCATTCGGCGTTTTCTTTCAATTTTTATGGATGATACTATTACTCACTTTTAAAGACTGGAGAGAAATGGACCCGAATCCAGCCCATTAATATTACTATTCAGCTATTTTTTTATAAAATAAATTCTCAATTTTTAATGTAGAAACCAATTATCTACCAACGAGTTAACACCGGAAGTATATGTTATTTTGCCACTTGGGTCCTCATCCGTTGGATTGAAATTTTTTCTGAATCCGGATATAATTGTTCCTTGGATCAGATCCCCAAGCATTTCCTTTAAGATTGCCAATTGTCAAAAAAAAAATTGCGTTTTTTTAAATTGAACGACTTTGTAAGTTTTTTTCGATTTTCTTTGAAACTTTTTGTTATTGTTTTTGTATTGTAGGATTGTGTTGAAGGAGGCGGCAGCTGATGATAAAGAGGTGATGAAAACCATCTCAACTGCATAGATCCGTCCTGCATTCTTCCTGCAAACTATTTATAACTTGGCACTATGATCTGAATCAGTTTATAATTCTTGATTGGCGTTTACTCGGACCGGACTTTCTGAATTCCTTTCCGTAGAGTTGTGATATTAGAAGTTGTGAAAATAACTTGGTGATTTTTATTAATTCATATTTCGGATATTATTTGTTTATAAATTCAACCTATTTTATACAAGATGGTTTTACAATAAATATAAACTTTATGCTAAAAGAAGGAGTTTGGTTGTGAACGGTAAAGTACGGTAGAATTAAAGATAAGAAGTTTAAAACTAATTTATTTTTAGATTTTACGTCATTCAAGAGTTTAATTTAAACATGTTAGAACCCGAATTGTGGTTAATACACATTACTCAATTTGATGAGGAAGTCGAAGCCTGACATTAATAATTCAAGACTAGATTTCACAGATTCTTGGAGATTAACTTAAACATAAAGGTTGTGGTCTTGAGATAATCAAAGCCCTTCTCCCTACCTCTAATTAAAGGACAGATTATAATGTTGAGCGTTAGTATTTTAAAACAGATTTGATAAAGAACATTTATTTCTTTCGGGGACCTAAGGATAAATGAAAGGCGGTATATGATAAAACCAGAGAATTTTAGGTTTTGAACGATACCTATAAGCTTTCTATCTTATGTTCCTGTCCCGATTAATTGACATAAAACTGTGTCAAAATTATACCAAAACGGACATGTGTCAGATTTTGTATAAAAGTTGTTGCATTAAACAGATCATATTCAACAATTGCTCAACCAATCTGAAAACGACTATTTCTCACACCAACCTGTAAATGTCAGGTTTGCTCCTGTTATAATTATTTAATTTTTATTTTGCATTTTTTATAGATATAATTGATAAAAAACAATCTATGCAAACATTCTCCATTAAACGCCCATTAATGCTGACTTTACAGCTTCATACATTGGTGATCAGTTTCTTAGTTACAAAGCAATGGTATAGCTATAAAGACGACCTGAATTTTTATCATTTTAGTCTCTCCCAAGGTACTAATGCAAGGAAAGTTATTTTAGAGGTGTACGCATTTTTTGTTCTGCAGTGTACTGTCGTTGGGCGGAAAAGTAAACACAAGACGGATGTCACAGCCTGACATGGAATCCATTTTCACAAAAATAATCTACAGGGTGTCCCAAAAAACATGGGAATTCAGTGACGAATTCGATATCGTCTGTGTTATGAATTAGCATTGTAATACCTAATTTCACAGCCATAATATTATCCGTTGATAATTAATAAACTAATAAATATGTAATTTTTATGCACAAACTGTCATTTTCAACGGAAAAATAAATTATTAGATTAGATTAGATTAGAGATTATAATGTTGAGCGTTAGTATTTTAAAACAGATTTGATGAAGAATATTTATTTCTTATAGGGACTGTAAAGGATAAATGAAAGGCGGTATAGGATAAAACCAGAGAATTTCAGGTTTTGAACGATACCTATAAGCTTTCTATCTTATGTTCCTGTCCCGATTAATTGACATAAAACTCTGTCAAAATTATACCAAAACGGACATATGTCAGATTTTGTATAAAAGTTGTTGCATTAAACAGATCATATTCAACAATTACTCAACCAATCTGAAAACGACTATTTCTCACACGAACCTGAAAATGTCAGGTTTGCTCCTGTTATAATTATTTTATTTTTATTTTGCATTTTTTATAGATATAATTGATAAAAAACAATCTATGCAATCATTCTCCATTACACGCCCATTAATGCTGACATTACAGCTTCATACATTGGTGATCAGTTTCTTAGTTACAAAGCACTGGTGTAGCTATAAAGACGACCTGAATTTTTATCATTTTAGTCTCTCCCAAGGTACTAATGCAAGGAAAGTTATTTTAGAGGTGTACGCATTTTTTGTTCTGCAGTGTACTGTCTTTGGGCGGAAAAGTAAACACAAGACGGGTGTCACAGCCTGACATGGAATCCATTTTCACAAAAATAATCTACAGGGTGTCCCAAAAAACATGGGAATTCAGTGACGAATTCTATATCGTCTGTGTTATGAATTAGCATCGTAATACCTAATTTCAAAGCCATAATATTATGTCTGCTAGATTTTATTTCATGAAAAGGGTAAATGACTGTAAAGATGTGTCCATAATGTCTTCGCATGAAGAGTGAAAACTGAAGACGGTCAAGTTTGTTTTACTTAGTACATCCGTATGCTGTCAAAACATAAACAAACAAAATGTGAACATAGCAGATTACAGCTTTCTCAGTAGGTATCACTATACTAAATCAAAGAATTATTTAAAAAGACGATATCAAATTCGTCACTGAATTCCCATGTTTATTNTAATAGACTAAACATACTAAGCTCTGTATAGTTCCGCGTAATATGGTTTATTCCTTAATAGACTAAACATACTAAGCTCTGTATAGTTCCGCGTAATATGGTTTATTCCTTAATAGACTAAACATACTAAGCTCTGTATAGTTCCGCGTAATATGGTTTATTCCTTAATAGACTAAACATACTAAGCTCTGTATAGTTCCGCGTAATATGGTTTATTCCTTAATAGACTAAACATACTAAGCTCTGTATAGTTCCGCGTAATATGGTTTATTCCTTAATAGACTAAACATACTAAGCTCTGTATAGTTCCGCGTAATATAGTTTATTCCTTAATAGACTAAACATACTAAGCTCTGTATTTTAGAATTTAGCCGTATAGTTTAATACATGACTGGTTGGAAATTTATTGGGAAGAATTAAAAAATGCGCTAAATGTAATTATTAAAGGGACTGGAGTCGTAATTATAAATGACTCCATTTATAGAGTGGCATACCCGTTTCCCAACCATGTCCTTAAAAGACTGATTTTCATCTTTTTTTCTTCTAAAATTGACCAATTTCCTTTATTTTCGCATATCTGTTTTAAAACAATGGAGGGAATATTTCAAGTTAGAAAAGAACGAAATATTCCCCAATATTGTTCAGATAATTAATGGTTCAACGGGTTCCGTTGAGAGAGCTGTCTCAGCCCTCTTTAAATACATGAAGGGTCACGTGAATTTATAAAAATTTATAAAACGCCTGTGGAGATAGATAGATATATATTTGACTAAATATTTTAATTAAAAACAATTACAATTGCACAATTTTTATATTTTAATTTAGCCAGGGCCTCTCTAACCATTGTTGGTTGTTTTGAATAAGAGGCCCTTCTGCAGCGATACATACATGTTCAATTTAAAAAAAAACAAAAACAATTAAGCACTAAAGGAAAAGGAGGAAAATGAAAAGTAGTAGATAGAGGAAAGGTATTGAAGAATAGAGAGGAAAAGCAGAAGAACGGATCGTAGAGGGGGGCGGGACAACCCAGCACACAAAGTTTAGAATGTTTATGTTTGATTTTCTTTTGTTATAATAACAGGGGGAAAGGGGATAGAATCAAGATTAAGCGAGAAAAGCAATTTCGATTTATACAAAGAAAATTACTATATTCTTCAAGAAAACTTTTTAAAGACTTGTTTCAAAACTTGCCAGGATGCCTAAAGATTTTATTTCCAATGGAATAGAGTCCCAGGTCCTTGGAAGAAAAACCGTAGGAAAACTTTCTAGAAATTTATTTTTAACTGATTCTAATTTATAACTTTTTGTTATATTCTAAGTTTCTTATTTTCTCTTATCCCAACATACATACATATATACATACATACATATATACACACATACATATATACACATACATATATACACACATACATACACCCCTACACCTATACATACATACATACATATAAACATACATACATACATACATATATACACACATACATATATACACCCATACATATATACACACATACATATATACATACATACATATATACACATACATACACCCCTACACCTATACATACATATATACACATATACATACATACATATATACACATATACATACATACATATATGCTGGTTAATTAACAGTTTTTAATCTTAATAAACAAGACGGAGTATTGGAAGAGAAATCAGGAAAATGTAACCGCAGCACATCATTAAATATACAGTAGAACAGTTCACACTTCCTTCCCATTAATTTACAGGATATACATATTCTATATAGTCATTGCTTAGTATTATATGACACCGGAATGGNGTTTATTCCTTAATAGACATACTAAGCTCTGTATAGTTCCGCGTAATATGGTTTATTCCTTAATAGACATACTAAGCTCTGTATAGTTCCGCGTAATATGGTTTATTCCTTAATAGACATACTAAGCTCTGTATAGTTCCGCGTAATATGGTTTATTCCTTAATAGACATACTAAGCTCTGTATAGTTCCGCGTAATATGGTTTATTCCTTAATAGACATACTAAGCTCTGTATAGTTCCGCGTAATATGGTTTATTCCTTAATAGACATACTAAGCTCTGTATAGTTCCGCGTAATATGGTTTATTCCTTAATAGACATACTAAGCTCTGTATAGTTCCGCGTAATATGGTTTATTCCTTAATAGACATACTAAGCTCTGTATAGTTCCGCGTAATATGGTTTACAATTTAGAAAAATCTACATTTGTTAATTCTCAAGAAATACTAATACAGAGGTAGAGAAAAGTTGTGAACCCCCTTCTATCAACTTGTGTTAATTGACTCTTGACAGTGAAATAAAACAATAAAACTTTATTCAGAGGACGGGAATATTGTGTAGAGTATCCTTAATCTTAAACACTTGATTTTAATATCTAATATTGGCAGGCATTTTTAAAGCCTAGAATCATTGCTTGATCCCTCAATTAAAGTTGTCCTTGCAGAACTGATAATAACCATCACGGTCACCCCGGACAAACCAGAGGGAGAAGCATTCGGTTTCTTTTATTACGTGCGGTGTATATCAATGTGGATTGGAATCCGTAGATCTGCGTAAGATAGAGATCAATGCTGATTACACGTTCTCCAACAAAATAATTGGCTCATTTTTTCTAAGATACAGAGCGTCCCAAAAAACATGGGAATTCAGTGACGAATTCGATATCGTCTTTGTTCTGACTTAGCATTGTAATACCTAATTTCAAAAGCCATAATATTATTATGTCTGCTAAAGTTTATTTTATGAAAAGGGTAAAAGACTGCAAAGATGTGGCTTTAATGTCTCCACAAGATGAACAGTGAAGACGGACAAGTTTACTCTGTTTGTATACTGCAATTTTCTTGTTTTACTAAGTACAACCATGCAGTCAAAACATAAACAAACAAAATGTGAACAAAGCAGACGAAACTCTTACAGATTACAGCTTTCTCAGTAGGTATCAATATACTAAATCAAAGACTCGTCTGAAAAGACGATATCGAATTCGTCACTGAATTCTCATGTTTAATGGGACACCCTGTATGTAGAGCTGTTTTTTTAAAATGTGCTTGATAAGCAAAGGTATGTATTGTATATATATTTCGTAAAAAAATTTAACAAATTTCCCTCCCACCTAAAACCAAATAGTTTCGCAAATCCATTTCATGTTTAAAGTAGGCAAACCCCATTATCGATATGATGATGGATTTATGTTTAAAAATTTTACAGCTTTCGTTTAATGTTTAATAGTCGTAGAAAGCCTAAGTTTGTCAAGCTAGTAGTTCTAATATTTGTTAAATATATTTTAAACAGAAAATATGAAACGCTATTATAATTTCAGTCCGTCAAAACTCTATAAATATACGGCCGTCTTAAAGTACGAATGAGAACTGTTCTCTACTCTACCGATTGCGGTTACAAAACTAAATGTTTGTAATAACATTTGCGCAAATAGTCGACCCTAGCGGGGTTTTTAATTACTTACTATAATTCACAATCAAGAATTAATGCACTAAACTTATTCTGTTCCATCGTATCATAATGTGAAAATATTAGAATATCAAGATAAAAATGATGATCTTGATTTATTGGTCTGGATTCCATGCTTTTAAAACTAAAATCTACAAAATGTGATTGATGATTTTATTTTTTATTCAATCTTTTTGGCAGATGGAAGAAAAATTGATTTTACAATTGAACTATCGGCATTTGTATGCGTATTATCTACATAAAAAGAATTGAAAGACAATTCCGTTAAGATGTGCATAATGATATGCATAATGATAAGAATAAGATTAATATTCAACATAAGAAAGTCTATAAAAAGTTTAGATTTATTCACTCTGCATCAATAATTATACACTGTGTCAGCTAGTCAGTGTCATGAGTTATTTTTTTAGAATTTCGTCTTCTAATTTCACCCTTCCGGCCAATACCAGAGTTTTTTTTTAAACAGCTATTGTAAATATTAAAATGGTTTGTGTATAACTATAGATACAAGGGTTACATAAATGTGAGTTCTAAATTGTTACGCAAGAAATTAAATCGCACGATATGTGATAGTGATGGATGAGCTTGCGTAAATTTCTTTTTTGTAATTATTGCAGAGAAATGTTTCATAGACATTTTCTCGACTAAAGCGATAAAAATATTGAACTCATAGTATAATTGTACAGAAAAAAACACGTTTGAAAATGCTCTAAAATCAGTATTTGAGAAACGATCGCACTGTATGTTTCTTGGTGTGAAGCAGAACTGACAGGATCTGTTATCCTAGTTTAAGAACTGTATCCGGAGTAAAACCCTGAACCCTAAGTACCGCTGCTCCTGGAGCAGGGATAAAAAGTAAGAGTTTCTCTCTCCAAGATTATCAAGATTCATACAGTGTTCCGCGTAATATGGTTTATTCCTTAATAGACATACTAAGCTCTGTATAGTTCCGCGTAATATGGTTTATTCCTTAATAGACTAAACATACTAAGCTCTGTATAGTTCCGCGTAATATGGTTTATTCCTNGGAATTATATCTTGTTTATATATATATAAAATATATTCGCTAACAAAAATGCATTTTTCAACAAATGACGAAGAATGCTTTGTTCACGTTACACTTGTCACAGCATGCACAGAAATTGTTGTGATTTACTCACACTCGCAGTGATTTAAAAGCTCTTGGGGAAAAATCTCTGAGAATTTTGCCAATTACTTCTTAACAACTAATAAAAATTGCTTTGTATTCTAAAATGTAATAAACAAATAAAGATCTTATTCTTTTTTACAATGTACAATTTGAATTTTGTACTAGTTAATTTTCAATTCTTTTGGGATTCTGCCTCATATAGGCCTACGTATATTACGTATAGTAGGCCTATATGTATATATACGTGTATGTATAGGCCTACGTATATATATATATATTTAGGCCTACGTAATATATATATATATATATTTGTCCGGGCGATACAGTAAAAACTGGGACCGGAAAGGTTGACCCGGTTCGGAAATTCAAATGTACTACGGCTGCCCGTGACGTAGGCCTATATATGTATACGTAGGCCTATATACATATACGTAGGCCAATTTATATATATGTATATATATTTATATATATATATATATAGGCCTACGTATATAATAAAAGTATAATAAAAGATGTAAAATAAAGTTTACAGACTCAGGGAATCATGAATTTATATGTCTGTAATGAAGAAAGACTGAATTTTCTTTTATTTCTTTCATTTGTGAGCACCCCTGTGTGATAAACCCTGAATATGTTTAAACATGTCAACAATGTATTTCATGTTTGAAGAAGGATAAACCCTGAATAAAACGTAAAATCGTATGAATATGTTTAAACATGTCAACAATTCTTTATCTAACAATATATTTCATGTTTGAAGAAGGATAAAGAGAGAGAGAGAGGAAAGCTGAGAAAGTTAGTGGATGAGAGAGAGGTAGAGATTACTGCACCAGAGTGCACTAGGAGCAGGAGACAAGAGTAGTGGATACAGTGTACACTCCGATCTATACTCACTGACGTGTAAATACTAAACACTGTAACATGGATTAATTCTAGTCTGTTCTAGTCAATCAACTTACTCATGTCTAAATATTCGGATCTAGACGCGCACAGTAGAAACTGTCCGTCCTGTATCCGGGTTCGGGATGGAGAGCACGGTTCCGGAGTAGGACGAGGAGGAAAGAAGCATAGTTTACCATGCAGGAAACTAGCAGAATCCATGACAAAGATCAGAAGATCTACAAGCTCTCTTTCATACGCGGATATTGTATACAGAAAGGAGGAAAGTTTCGAAGGTTCTACCTATCTTACTCCGACCCAGAGAAAGAATAATGAAATAAAGAAGCTGCGAGCTGAACTAAACAAAGCCTATGATATTATTAAAACTAAAGATGAGGAGATCATTTCCCTTCGGAAAGAGTTGGTTAAGTTTAAAGGAGGATTATCTCCGGACTATTTTGAAGCAACCTCAATACCAGATTCTGGAAACTGTGAAGATCCAGACTCGGAGCATGAACCGGAGACTTCATCCGTCCTGAGAAACATAGATTTCGAGCTGATGGAGACAACCTTGAGAGAGGAGGAGGAGTCGAGGCAGCAGCTCAGCGCGGAGAACCAGGATCTCAAGTTTCAACAGGAGAACATCAATCAGCAGATTCAGGAGCTTAAATCTAGTCACGAGGATGAACTGCTAGCTCTGCAGGAGAGGTTTGAGTCGGAGAGAGAAAGGTTGAAGGGAACCCATAATGAGAGGTTGGAAGAGGTTTTGACAGGGTTGGCTGATACCACGCTTCGTTGCACCCGGCTCCAGGAATCTATTGAGAAGAAGCAGATAAAATTGGACGAACAATGCGAGCATTTAGAAACACTAAGCTCCAAGCTACTAACCCTACACGGAGAGGTTCAAGCCAAAGAAAACCTGTGTATTGATAAAGAAAGGCAAATTAAATCATTGAACCTGGAAATCCAAAGATTAAGTAAAGATTTAGAATCTAGTGAAAAAATGTGTGAACGCCTAAAACTTGAAATATCTCAGTTAAAGCTGGAGTTACAATGTTCTCAAGCCCCCAGTATACCAGGCCTAGATACAAATACAATTATCCAAAAACTAAAGGAAGAACTGGCCTACAGTCAAGGAATAATTGAGTCCCAAGAATCTGATATTAAGAAGATAAGAAGTGAGGAAGGAGGAATAAAGTACCTGAACCCTAATCATGTATCCGTGCAAACAGAAAACAGAACCAAAGTTGACAATATAAACCAGGTAGATTTCTGGATCGACCTGTCTGAGGATAGACCCGGAGAAGATGAGTCCAAGGAGAACAGTGTCCTGGTGACGTATCAGTTCCTGAGAAGATCAATCTATTATTATCTTACAGACAAGGATAACAAGGATTACCATCTCAAGTCTATAGAACGTCTTCTTCAGTTTACTGAAGGAGAGAAGGAGGTGATAGATCGTCAGAAACCACTCAGGAAATATTAAACATGTTTATAGTCTTGCAAAAATATCTAAATGCAGTTTTCATTAAGTATGTGTTGAAATGTTATCTGCGCAATTGAGTAAGTTCTGACCGGCGTTGAGTAATGCGCTCGGGAGAAGTTGTGATCGTGAGTACTTGTGCTCGTGAATACTTGTGCTCGTGAGTACTTGTGCTCGTAAGTACTTGTGCTCGTGAGTACTTGTGCTCGTGAATACTTGTGCTCTTGAGTACTTGTGCTATTGATGAATTCTATTATAGTTTGATGTATTAAGTGTTTACAACATAAGGTTGCTATGATATAGGGATTAAAAAAGTGCTCTTGAGTACTTGTGATCGTGAGTACTAGTGTCCGTGAGTACTTGTGTCCGTGATTACATGCTCCCGGAAATTCTTGTCTTCGTGTGAACTAGTGACTGTTAGACTGTGAGAACTTGAGACTGTGCGAACTTGTGTCCGTGAGTTTTTGTGCTCGTGATTTTTTGTGTCCGCGGGTACTCATGGTCAATGAGAACTTGTGTCCGTGAGTCTTTGTGCTGATGAGTATTTGTGTCCGTGAGTTTTGGTGCTCGTGAGTATCCGTGTCTGTGAGTTGTAGGTGGAAACCTGGACCATGTCCATACTTGTGACGATGAAAACTTTTGTTTTTGAGTTATTGTGTCCGTGAGAATGAAGGTTCTTGAGTAGAGTTACCCTGAGTACTTGTGTCCATGAGTATATGTGTTCGTGAGTGTGTTTTCCCGTTAGCACTTATTACCGTGAGTTATACTTGTGCCCGTGAGTACTTTACGAATGGCGTTACAACTAATCGTTCACACTCGTTCATTCATAGTGTGTTCACAATTAAGTTTTTATAATAATCCAATATTTAGATATTATATTTAGATTGTATACGACAAACTTTTAAGATTTCTTAATATCACATAGTAGGAACCCGATTAGTATTAATTATTTGTCATCAGATATTAATTTCGTATTAATAGTTGTTATTAGTATTGATATTGAAGATATATTTATTATTTTAATGAATTCTTTAAAATCATAATTTGTACGTTATAATTTCGTTTTATTCATTAATTATAATCATGTAGGCTAATTCGTAATTGATAAAAAAAAAATAATAATAATTGCACAGCAAAACATTAAAGTTTACGCAATCGTATAATTTGACATTTTTAATAATTATTACTGGTTTTTTAGTTTAAATGCGATAAGGATCTTTTAATTCCTTAATTTTTAATATATAATGTTGTTTTTTGGTGGGGGGTGGGGGGGGGGGCACAGAGATATTTTTCTGTTGATTAGTCCGAAGAATCAATTTTAATTTATCCTTAAAATAAATGAAATTCTTGATAATCAATATATATTATGCCAGTCTAGCCTGTATAAATTCCAAAAGCTTACTTCCTATTCTGCAGTAGTGGTAATTATTAGTAATATACTTAAGAATAAGTCTTTAAAAACTTCACTTAAAAGTATTTTTTTCTTCTAAAAATCTCAATGATCAACAAAACCATCTTTTTTAGATTTTTTTACGAAAATCTTTTTTTTTTTTAGCCATTCACAGCGAATTTAAAGTTAATCAATTGTTGCCATGCAAAAAACTGTAAATAATGTGATTATTAATAATAAATTGTGCTTACATATGCACATGTTATAGTTGTGTAATGTTTGATATTTTGAATATTACACATTAATATATTATTTTCTAAATAGTCACGGCATTTTTAGTGCAAAATTAAACTTTATGCAATAAAAAATAAGTTATTTCAATTTGTTTTTATATTTAAAAAAGCATTATTTATGTTTTGTTACGTAACCCTTATTGTGATAATTAAACTTTATTTACAGCGTAAATGTATTAAATTATGAAAATAAAAATGTATGACCAATAAATGATTAAAAACATTTTTACTTTAACGGAGTCATTATCATTAATTAAAGAGAAACTACAGAACTTGTTCACAATCATTCAGTCGTACTGTCCAGTCAGGGCACCCAATATAGAGTCGACAGAGGCATGTTTTATGCAACAAATATGGTCTGACAAGATCACAGTGCCCCGGTAAAGTTTAAATATTTCGTAAATGCTTTTGCTCTTAGGGTATTAAATTTACATTTTTTTAATTGATTGAAAATCTTTTTAATTGTATTTTGTCTTTATCTATTTATTTATGTCTCGTAACTCGTGACAAAACAAGTTGTATCTCAATAAGAGCAAAAACTTGCGAATAATAACATGGGGCAACCTTCAAATCATGTCAGCTTGTATTATTTAACTATGTACTAGAAGAAAACTAGTGCAAAGGCATGCATTTTTAGAAAATCTAATGCTAAATGGTAGTTTCAAGTTACCGACTATTAATATTTTAATTTATATACAGTGAGAACCATAAAACTGTGGAATACGAAGACGACAGTAAAATAATACTGAAGTTTATTTAATGTTGTTACAAAGCTAATAGTTTTACTAGTAACCAATTAAATCACTTATTCAGTTAAATGGGTCTGTGTACACTGCACAATTCTTGTATCTCATTTTCATTAAACTATTTAGAACCAAAATTTGAGTTTTAAATTCTTCTTCCTAACTCCAGAGTTTTCTGGTTCTCACTGTTTGAAAATACAAAGGTGCAGCTAAAAGATTAAAAAATCGATACAATAGAAAAAGGTATGTTTATCTTATATAACTAAAACAAAAGACCGCCGCTAAGCAATAATATATTTTAACAGAGTCCTTCCTGTTTTGGGTTTCATCAGAAATATGTAATAGTGTGCAAGCTAGCTATGAAAGCAATAGCAGTCATTTTAGTAATGTGCTAGCTAGCTATTACCGCCATTAAAGCAATAGCAGTCAATTTATTAATGTGCTAGCTAGCTATTACCACCATTAAAGCAATAGCAGTCAATAGCTATTACCGCCATTAAAGCAATATCAGTCAATTTAATAGTGTGCTAGCTAGCTATTACCACCATTAAAGCAATAGCAGTCAATTTAATAGTGTGCTGGCTAGCTATAACCGCCATTAAAGCAATAGCAGTCAATTTAATAGTGTGCTAGCTAGCTATTACCGCCATTAAAGCAATAGCAGTCAATTTAATAGTGTGCTAGCTAGCTATTACCGCCATTAAAGCAAAAAAAGTCAATTTTCACAAAGCAAGTTTCATCATAGTAAACATTAAAATGTACTTTTAAACGTGATAATTGGCTATTTTAAAAAACAACATGTCAAAGGAATTGAGTCTTTGCAACAAATCCCAATTTTCTAATGCCTATATATCTACAACCAAATTATGTAAACCTTTGATATTTCAAACTTTGATTGCTTGATATGACAGAAGTCATAGTTTGAAATATCTAAGGTCTACAACATTGGATTGTTAAGATATAGGAATTTAAAAATCAGAGTTTGTGGCAAAGACTCAATTCCTTTGTCTAAACATATTTCAATATAGGCAAATGGCCTTAGACTTTTCCTATAGCTAGAGAATTTGCAAATGTTTATTTTCTAATAGATGGAATCAAATCTTTTTATCGATCTAGTTCACTGAAAAATTAATTTCAAGAATTAATGAATAAATTTAAACTATTTGTACAGTTGTTTATGAAAGGTTACCCTAGTTTATCGTATAAAGGAAAATTTAGAGGGTTTATCGTAAATTATTAATTCAATATTTTCATATTTCTTTGTCGATAGTAATTAAGGTGAAATATTGATGAACAGGTTGATCTATTTTTGGACTAACTGTTGTGTGCACTTTGCTCACTTTGCAGTGACAAAAGTACATAGCTTCGGATAGTAATAATTTTACGATTTAAGAATTTAAGAGTATATTTTTTTGACCTTCTATAATGGACTATAGTTGTAATGTTTAGTGATCCTTCCATTAAAACACGGCTGTAGGTTCGATTCACAGCGGTAATTTAAAACCTTATCTGAGCCCACGATTAAAAAATTCAGGAAAATATGACTCAGGTCAAAGCTATCTTTGGACCTTATTTACGGCTCGAGTATTGAGATAAGTTGCGACTTATTTTCCACAGAGTTGAGTTTTTAAAAACCAGTTTAATATTGTTTTTGGCGGTTTTTTTTATTTCATTTCATTTCATATTTTTATTCAACTACAAAGCACGAGATAATACAAATAAATAATCACAATTTACTATGTAGTTTGGACCCGCCTAACCACAGTAGGTTGTTTTAATTGGTTTGTCCATTATAAGCGAATGAGACTTGTAAATAAATATATGGGTGTACACATGTACAGTGTACATTTTAAACATAATAATGATAATGAATCATGTAGAAGGTAAGAAGGGGGTGAAGAAGTATAGGAGAAAGGTAGGCTACTCAGCGGAAGGGTTGGAACAGAGGGTAACATATGTTATTAAAATCATGTTTATGAACTACATGGTGAAGAAGATAGTAAAGACTAAATTTATCCACATGGTACACAGTTTTTTTTACAGATATAACTTGCATAACTATCTAAATAGATCTTTTCTTTTAAATGATTTTGCAGTTTTAGTTTCTTTAAGCTCTTTTTAACTTTAATAATTTATTTTTGGATAAGGGTTGTGAGCACAAGCTCACGCATACAAATAAAACGAAATATCAATAAATCTATTTCCAGTTTGTTATCAAGGTCTTTCTATTATTTTGTTCTGCTCAAGATTAGTTAAAAGTCATACACCCCAACGTTTTGTGTTGTGCCATTGTCTTAAAGACCTGACTATGGGTAACCCTGTAAACCATAGTGAACACTTATTTTGCGCGGGCTGATCTTGCTTCCTTTTTTTCCCTTAGGCTTAACTATTTGGTTTGGTTAATAATATGATTTTTAATAATCGCATGAAGCGTTGATTTGCCAATGACTTGTAGAAAGCTGGATTTTCAAACATAATTGAGTTATGCTCTTTTGTCCTTTTCTCAGTCAGTCATGAAAGGTAAAAAGAATTTTTTTAAGCTCTAATTCAATCGAATTCAATATTTTTTCGTGGTTAAAATTGGCGGATTCCAGAATTTGATTAAAACAAGACTCAACATTGAGACTAATTCTCCAAATTCTACTGACTCCACTAAAACCAACAAAGTAGGTTTTATTTACAATAGACCTAACTCCGTAAGTCGAGCCGAACATGTTGCAGCTGTCAATCACGTGATACAAGCTGTCGTCAGAGATGGGTCTAAGATTGAGCCTTAAACCTGGGTTTAAGGAATTACGACTCGATTCGAAGCTTTTAAATCGCTGGCTCTGATCAATAATGTAAAAAAGGTCTTTTCATATTTGGGGACATTTCATGAATTCGAATCATTCATAAATGCGGAAACTGTTTCAAAATATCGCATGTTCCATATTTTGATAAATAAATACTGTAGGTTTTTATTACTTCAACTTAGCTTGAAAGATATATATTCTTAAAAATGTAACTTTGCAGATTTGGCGGTCCATTTCTAACACTCACTGTTAGAAATGGGCATTATTCATGATCAGACACAGATTTTAAGGATATATTGTTGAGAGAAATTCCGTTCAAAAAAAAATATTTTTATCTTTTTTTTAAAGGAGTTGAGTTTTTGCCACAAACTCCAATGTTCTAATCACTTTATCATTGCAACCGGATGCTGTAAATCTTTTATATTTCAAACTTAGAATGTTTGATCTGTCAGAATTCTTAGTTTGAAATGTGATAGGTCTACAAGAACGGGTTGCAGAGATACAGGAATAAAAAATCAGAGTTTGTGGCAAAAACTCAACTCCTTTTGATGAGATTTCTTGCTTTTCAAATTCAAAAATTGATTTCAAATCTGGTTTTCTAGCAAAATTGTTGAAAAAAATTACCATGATTTTTTAAAGTTTTTAGCTCCCTGTCATATTAAACTAAAGTAAAATTAATATTGGATTCAAAAGTTGCATAAAGTAAATCTGGAGGAGTTACAAGATCGCAAAGGTTCAACTAAAAGGCCAGATTTAAAACCGACTTATGTAATATTTTTTTGTTGCTTACCGTTTTCACTGTACTCTATTATTTCCTATTCTACAACTCTATTTTCTATTATATTCATATATAATTAATCAATTAAAACAAAAATTGGATTTAAAAATATTTAAATATTTAAAAAAAGCATAAATCTATATATTTATTTTCACATTAAATATCACATGTCTTTTATTCATAGAATTTCAATAATTTAGAGGACAATTTTACAATTTTACAATTTTACAGTTTTACAATTTTACAATTTTATTGTTTAATATAATTTGTGAAATTTATTTGATAAATATCTCACATCTAGAGCATATAGGTTTAATACATAACAAAAGTTCTCTAATAAGTTAGAAAATTTAAGATTTGGCCGATTAAAATATTTAATAAGACCTAAAACTTTATAAACTGCCGTGATTGGTCAATCCTTTCAGGGGAAATGTTCTCTTTAAAATTATGTTGAAACCCCATTAATGAGTGAAGCTTAAAATTGAAGATAAGTCTAAGTTGAAACCCCAGAATTGAAGAGAACCTTAGAATAAAAACCCAACTTAAAGAGGAAGTTTGGATGAAAACGCCTAAAAGAAAAACTAGTTTTGGATAAAATCATAGCAGAAAACCTCCCAACATTCAAGAAGCTTAGAATTGAACCCCAAAAAGAGAAGAAAATTTAAGGAAGAAATTGACAAAAATGTCAAAATTAAAAAACCAAATTATCCCTGAATACCCGATTTTAAGAAATAAACATGGTAATTATTTTTCATATTAACAGAGCCTGTATTTTCAATTACACCGTTTTAAATTAAAACAATAGGTGTATTTGGCATCTCCAATTTCCATATACAAGATTTTAAAACTATACTCGATTCTAATAAGATTTAATTTTATTTTCATTAAAACTTTTTTTAATACCGTTTGCTTTGGATCTAATGTTATTAGGATTATGCATGGCAATATATGCACACGCTGCAGATACGATTGCTCGAAACATAATTGTTGGAGATGTAATCACTAGCAAAAATTACTAAATGAGTTTAATATATTTATTGTTTACAGAATTAATCGTTAAGCTTCTATTAACTTTATTTCTAGAAAATCCCTTTCCAAGCAATGATATCTGTAGCTAAGCATACACCGGTGCCCAGGGACTAGTTAGTCAAATAGTTTAAACAAAGAAACTGGATTTCTTGATACTTTTTAGTATTATTATTAAGCACCTTTCCCATTCCCCTTNCCCCCCCCCCCATCATCCCTGTCAAATCAAATTACTAATTTCTTTACTTTTGCCTATTTTTCTATTTGATAAAGAAAATGTTTGTAAGATATTTAATTACAATTTAGTATAATAATAAAATTCTTTAAAAATTCATTAAATATTCTCTTATGATGTTTTAAGTATTTTGTGGGGGAAATTAGCCTCTGAAAACATTAATACTGACTATATATATTGCACAGTTTAAAAATATAAAATATGGGAAAATAATTGTTTTGTTTTTTGTTCCATTTGATGTGGACATTGCAGTTGACGGTTAATCGATAGCCTAGAAACTCTCGAGAGTTCGATAATTAATTTTTAAACAACTCTAACAACCTTCAGGCTTTGTAAAGGCTGCCAGGGCTGCATGGCATTAGATAAAACTATTTGAAATATTCTTTTTAACTTATTTTTCTACAAGCTTTGTGCCTGGGATAAATAAAGGAAGCAATGTTTTGATTTAATTAATTACTTTTATAATTACCTGTTTCTAACAAAACAAAAACATTTTTGAGATTTCCAAATTAGAATATATCAAGGCATGTCCGATTAATCCTTCCAGAGGCCGAATTTAAAGTATTTAAGCCGTGGCTTAAATATCGTTGGTTCCACTTAAAATCGTATTTAATGTTTCAAGATTTTAGCTGGCGCTCCATTAAAACTGATTTTTGGGGGATTTGAGACTCGGCTCAAATTCATAAAATTCTGACTCTGAATAAACCCTGTTGTGTAACGTTAATCTTGAACCCTCGATCTCACATTACAGTATAATCCCTAAATAAACCCCGAAGTGGGAACTATTAATCTTGAACCCTTGATCTCACATTACAGTTTAATCCCTAAATAAACCCTGTTGTGTAACGTTAATCTTGAACCCTTGATCTCACATTACAGTTTAATCCCTAAATAAGAGTTATCCTTGCAGGGTATGACCACTATAGGATATCTATTAGGAATAAGGTAAATCCGTAGATCTCTATAGGATGGAGATCAATGAATCCGTAGATCTCTATAGGATGGAGATCAATGAATCCGAGGTTCACAATACTAAAGTTATAACTTATGAATCAACCGGTTGACATTGTAACCCCCTTTCAAAATTATTTTAAACCATTTGAATTCATATAGAATCCCCCATTAGACTGACATAGAATCACCCTTTAGATATATAAAATAACCCTTTAGAGATATAAATTTAACCTTTAAATAAATATATGTAGAATCACCCTTTGGATTGATAAAGAATAGTCGTTAAATTGATATTGCATCATCCTTTCGATTGATATTACATCACCCTTTAAATTGGTTTTGCATCACCCTTTAGATTGGTTTTGCATCACCCTTTAGATTGGTTTTGCATCACCCTTTTCTCAATCTCAAAATCGTAGATATCGTCAAGTACTTCTGGAAACACTATTGTAGGATATGCTGCGGACGAGTCCTGGACGACTAGCTCCGATATGTAGTCGGAGAATAGAATACCAGATCTATGGGCCCTCTCAACCTTCAGATCGTTTTCTTCAGAAGCTACCTTTTCTTCGCCCAAACTTTCTTTCTTTCTTTTATCTTTAAGATTTTTGTTAACTTTAACCCTTCTCTCAACTTTAACTTTAGCTTTAACATTGGTCTTTAGTTTTGTTGTGGTTGAGTTTTGCTGGTTTCCTGGTTTCTCCTGGTTCCTGTTCAGCAGGATTGGGACGAGTCTCTCCGGGGACTCCGAATACCAGTCCGCTGGTATTATATCAGAATCACTGTCACTCTGAAATTTTCATATTTTACTCGAATTTGGTTGAGTACAAAGATATAATAAGACACTAGATGGGTCAAAAGTTAATAACGAGTAAAGGTGTTGTGGAGTTAAACTGTAGTATGCTCTAATCCGCAAATGTTAACAATGTAAAAAACTGACTTTCAAAGGGGTCAGGATCAATTTTCTAGCACACGATGGGTTTTGTAAACAGCTGAACATGTAAAAATATCAAACTTGCGAAAATCATGAACTATCCCTTTAAAAATTACCTCTGGAAGATTGTACTGCTTCCTGTTTCCAGGACTGATGGGGCCTGTTGTTGATACTATCTTAGGTTGTGATGAGAACAGGAACAGCTGATCAGCTCCTACTCCCCTAGCACTCTAAACCAGATAGAACAATAAATATCAGAACGAGGTGAGTACTTTTGAATGAAGGGAATAATTTAAACCTAGTTTAACGAGATCCTGACCATAAGAGTAAAGCTTTTCTTCTTTTTTAATTTAAATCTATTCCGTTTATTTAAAAGTTTGTAGGTCAGGAAGAACAAATTTGTGCACAAAGTTTAAATTAGTTTTCAAGTTTTATTTATTGAACGTTCAAAGTGTCAACTTTTTCCGACCTTTTAAAAAAAATTTGACTATTTTATCTGCTTTCTCTTAAAGATAAAGTTTGAACATATTTTTCAAATAGTTACTCTTTACTTTATCAATTCTAAATCCCTCAAATCTTGCAGTTTTCTATATATTTGGCTTTTATATATTTGCCTCAAAAATTTCGATCGTACGTTTTTTATTGAAACCAATGAAACCATGGAAAAATCTGTGAAAATTTTAATTTTATTTTATGTACAAAGAAAAATGGTTTCTGGTCAGGAATATTTAATAGCTACAATAAATACCAAAATGACGCTGGAAACCTAGTATGTATAAATAAAAACCAACATATAAAAAACTAAATTGATTTTGAATATATAATTAAATTTACTTAAAAAACTAATTTCCTACCATGTATAAATATATATTAAAGGAATTAAGTCTTTGCCACAGCTCTCATTTTCCAAATCATATATCTTTGGAACCCAAAAAAGTGGACCTTTCAAACAATGAATTCTGTTAGATCAAATAGTCTAAGTTTTAAATATCAAAGGTTTACACTATCAGGTTGCAAAGATATAGGATTAAAAAATTTGAGTTTATGGCAAAGACTTAATTCATTTGCTTTTCAAAATAAGATTATTCAATATTAATAAAGTTAAAAAGTACAAATATTAATATTTCAACTGTGGAGAAGGTTTCTACCTTATTATTCCTCCTGAGTAGAGAATCATGAGACCTGGAGAGAGAATCCTTGGATCCGTCCGAACCCTCATCCTTCTGCCAGGAGATTCGTTTCTTCTTGTACAGAAGTTTCAACCTAGAAGCAGGGAACAAGATCAACAGACAGGGGAATTTATTTTCAATTAAACCAAACAAAATTTGTTTAAATTGTAAATGTTACACAAACTGTCAAGTTTTTTCATACTTTTCGATGCTTTCTACTAAAAGACATTTTATTTTCCCAAAAATATATTTTTATTTCCCAACTTCAGCAAAATAACATATTTAACATATTAAAAAAGCAAAAAAAAATAATACTTTCTAAATTGATTTTCTTAGCTATTTTTTTTCATTTGCAGCGCGTTGATAACAAATATTTTAAAAGATATTACTTAATTTAGTTTCTAACTACTAAAATTAATTAAACAAAATTTTGTTAATGCAATCAAATTAAATTTTTCAAATGAAGGAAATTAAAATAAAAGCAATGTTTGTTCAGTAAGTCCTTTCATTAATTATATTTAATCATTTAATTATATGTTTGAATATTATGACTTTAAAAACATAAAAGAAATTGAGCATTTGCCACAAACTCAAATTGTCTAATCCTACATGTTCGCAACCTGCGGTGTCGTAAACCTTTGAAATTTCAAACTACAGTAATCGTCGTATATATTAATATAATGAAGACAACTTACTATTTCAATTTTGATTCATAATACAGTGTTTACATTTCTCCTAGAGTCGAACCAAGTAGGAATAAAACTGAGGAGAGGAAACCAAGTAGGAATAAAACTGAGGAGAGGAAATCAAGGAGAAATAAAACTGAGGAGAGGAAACCAAGGAGGAATAAAACTGAGGAGAGGAAATCAAGTAGAAATAAAACTGAGGAGAGGAAATCAAGTAGGAATAAAACTGAGGAGAGGAAATCAAGGAGAAATAAAACTGAGGAGAGGAAATCAAGGAGAAATACAACTGAGGAGAGGAAATCAAGTAGGAATAAAAATGAGGAGAGGAAATCAAGGAGAAATAAAACTGAGGAGAGGAAATCAAGTAGGAATAAAACTGAGGAGAGGAAATCAAGGAGAAATAAAACTGAGGAGAGGAAATCGAGTAGGAATAAAACTGAGGAGAGGAAATCAAGTAGGAATAAAACTGAGGAGAGGAAATCAAGGAGGAATAAAGCTAAGGAGAGGAAACCAATGAGAAATAAAGCTAAGGAGAGGAAACCAAGGAAGGAGAAATAAGCGCTAAGGAGAGGAAACCAAGGTGTAATAAATCTAAGGAGAGGGAACCAAGTAGAAATAAGGCTAAGGATAGGCGGGACAGGGTTTGTTTATATTCTACTGTGAAGTTAAACAAATACCATCTTGACAGCATTCCAATACATCACAGTATTCCAATACATGATAGTATTCCAATACATGACAGTATTCNTTTCTGATACACTTTTTATTACATTTAAATATTAATTATGATTTGGATGAATTGTAAAACTTGGGGAAAATATGCAAACGGACTCATCAAACTGGAGTAGACAGACTACATTCAGTAATGATGCAGCCATAAAGCAATTGTTTTACGAGTAGCTTGAGAATCGACATATTAAGTGAAATGGATCTGTGTACACTGCACAACTGCTGTGCTTTATGCTCATCGAATCGAATTTTAAAGATCAGAGCTTAGGTTCATATTACAAAATCAAATGGTTTCACTGTACTTTTAATAAATGGAATGGAAGACGACTTAAGATTATACATATAAAACATTGGGAACAAAATATCAACCTCTTATCAAAGGAAGACAACTTTAGAATAGATGTAAAACAAAATTAAGTACTTTATCAACGGAAGACGACTTTATATCAGCTGTAATACAGAGGAAAATATTTACCTTTTATCAATGGAAGACGATTTTCCCCTGTTGACCTGAACAGCGAGGTCTGAGAGAGCAATAATGCTGAGAGCCTGCGAGGGCGGCCGGGTCAGAACAGATATATCCAGAGTTATCTAAATATATGATTAATTGATAAATCCAGAGTTATCTAAATATATGATTAATTAATATTTTTACAGAGTTATCTAAATATATGATTAATTAATATTTTTACAGAGTTATCTAAATATATGATTAATTAATATATCCAGAGTTATCTAAATATATCATTAATTAATATATCCAGAGTTATCTAAATATATGATTAATTAATATTTTTACAGAGTTATCTAAATATATGATTAATTGATAAATCCAGAGTTATCTAAATATATGATTAATTAATATATCCAGAGTTATCTAAATATATGATTAATTAATATATCCAGAGTTATCTAAATATATCATTAATTGATATATCCAGAGTTATCTAAATATATGACTAATTAATAAATCCAGAGTTATCTAAATATATGATTAATTGATAAATCCAGAGTTATCTAAATATATGATTAATTAATATATCCAGAGTTATCTAAATATATGATTAATTAATATATCCAGAGTTATCTAAATATATGATTAATTAATATATCCAGAGTTATCTAAATATATCATTAATTAATATATCCAGAGTTATCTAAATATATCATTAATTAATATATCCAGAATTATCTAAATATATGATTAATTAATATATCCAGAGTTATCTAAATATATCATTAATTAATATATCCAGAGTTATCTAAATATATCATTAATTAATATATCCAGAGTTATCTAAATATATCATTAATTAATATATCCAGAGTTACCTAAATACTTTTTTACTTATAATCAAAAATATCACAGCAAATAGTCTTAACATGTGTAATACTTTGCTACACAATACATATGATATTTTTGATTTCCCTGTTTGCCGATTTTACTCCCAAAATAAGTTGTGACTTAAATATTCTCAAATAAATTGAACACTCGCTTCCTACTCTAATTTTGTAATCTCCATATTTTTCTACCGGATGGTTTCAACCCTTAATATTTTACACTTTGACAAAAGGTCATACAAAACTCTAAAATACCAACAGATTTGAGTTTAACCAATTAGACCTTTCCCTGGAGAAAAAGCAAGTTTAACTTATTCTAGATTCATGATCCCTTTATTATTTTGGAGTTTTTGCGATAAGATTTATTGCCACAATATACATTTATTAATTGCCTTCATTTATTACATTTCTTAATTTTTGATTTACTGTATACCAATGTGTAAAGATGTGTTAATAAGAGACAAAGGTCTTTCTAACATGAAATTAGCATTGTAAATGGAATTCTACAAATTGGATTGAAAGAAGCGTTGAAAGTGGACTTCTACAGATTGCAATGAAACTATCATTGAAAGTGGAATCTTACAGATTGGAATGAAAGAAGCGCTGAAAGTGAAATTCTGCAGATTGCAATGAAATTAGCATTGTAAGTGGACTTCTACAGATTGCAATGAAAAAAGTGCTGAAAGTGGAATTCTACAGATTGCAATGAAAGAAGTGCTGAAAGTGGAATTCTACAGATTGCAATGAAATTAGCATTGTATATGGACTTTTACAGATTGCAAGGAAAGAAGTGATGAAAGTGGAATTCAACAGATTGCAATGAAAGAAGTGTTTCATGTTTCACATTTCTAACCTTATGTGGGGAAGTTGGTTGAGAGGACCAGGCAAGATTGGTCGGTAGTCCTAAAATAAGAAGGATTAGTGAGTAGTCCTGAAATAGGAAGGATTAGTAGGTAGTCCTGAAATAAGAAGGATTAGTGGGTAGTCCTGAAATAAGAAGGATTGGTGGGAATCGACCATTTCTTTTTCATTTGCATTCACTGATCTACAAAAAGGATTTTATAACCAAACTTGTTCTCAAACATTGGGGAACTTCAACTGAAATTCAAACCCTTGTAGAAATAAAAATAGTACATTTGTATACCAACTTTCATTTTTTTGCGAACACTCTCTTTAAAGGGATAAAAACTATGATTGGTCAAATAACTCTTACAACGTTTGAACCTTTAAAGATCGCTTTATCACGGTTTCTTATTAAATATCAGATTTCTGTTTTAATTGAAGAATAAAACATAAAAAAGAATTATTTTGAATCGATATTGTTTAAGTTTAAGTTTTTAAACCTTGATATTTTGATATTTGTGGTATTTGTTATTAAACATTTAGATTCTTAACTCAATACATTATAGTTAATATACAATATACTAGGCTTTTAGGGCGCTTTCCGCCTTCTTTACTGTAAATAATTTTAGCTTTTATTGTCGGCCATTTAAAATAATTTTCAAGGGAACTGAGTTTTTGCAACAAACCCAAATTTTCTATTCCCTATATCTCTACAACCAGATGGTGTAAACCTTTGATATTTCAAACTTGGATTATTTAATCTAACATAGTTCATAGTTTGAAAAATTGAAGGTCTACTACTTTGGGTTGAAAAGATTTAAGGATTTGAACATCAAAATTGTTACAAAGACTTAATCCCTTTTGGCTGATTTTTTCTTTCCCCGCGAACTGGCGCATTTTAAAAAATCCAATTATTTTCCAAGGATTTTTTCCAATTTTGATGTTTCATAAACCTTCCCTGGGGTCATGTGAACTCCAACACACAAAATTTGGGAACGATCGGTTGAGCCGTTTTGACGGACAACCAAAGTAGATATAGATATCTACGATCTTTAATATATTGCTTTATATCAAATACTTCTGCAAATAACAGTTTTTCATAGTTTTAAAACTTATAACTAGAAACTTAAAACTTAAAACTTAAAACTTAAAACTTAAAACTTAAAACTTAAAACTTAAAACTTAAAACTTAAAACTTAAAACTTAGATTTATTTGATAAAACTTTGGAGTATTTAATTTTTTTCTCTATTAAAAGATAACCATCATTTACCATTTGCTACTTTAAGCATAGTTCCAGGCTTATTAGGGAAACAATCCGGTCATCTTGGATCAAGGCATACCGGATACTCAGACCATAATCAGTGGATTTTAGAACCCTGAGCAGAGCATAATTAAACCCAGGAGAAGTGAACGTTTTGATCCTGAGTAAGGATTGTAGTAGACTGCAGACAGTGTGGAGAAACCTTCCATGGTTTCGACCACAAGCTTTCTACCGTGTTTATTGGTTAAACTGCATTCTTTTCTTATTATTACGTTTTAGTTTCCATATACTCAAATATTTACATTTTATTCAGAACTATTATTTACAGATTTACAGAACATATTGAAAATATTATTGGTTATATTTGTCATACAACGAATTGTCGAAGAAAACCTACCAGGCTTGAATAAGTTTGGAATTATTGAGATAGGAATTAGATTCATGAATTTTTAATCAGAGATTGTAGAGAAAGCGAACCCCAAGTATCATTCAGAGCGCCAACGATAAATTCAATATTGAATCAAAAAATTTACGTAGATATTAAAAATAGTCTAAATCTTGAAAGTCTGATTTCAAACGAGATGGTTGAGTTTAGATCCTTATTCCAGCCCTTTGGCCTTTATGTTTTGGAGTAAAATTTTTTTTAACTTGGATCGTTTATTTATTACAAAGAAATTGAGTTTTTGTCACAAACTCAAATTTTCTAATCTCTATATTTCTGTAACCGGATGATGTGAACCTTTAATATTTCAAACATAGATTATTTGATCTAACAGAATTCATAGTTTAAAATATTAAAGGTCTACAACATAGGGATAAAAAGATATAGTGATTAGAAAATCAGAGTTTGTGGCAAAAACTTAAATCCTTTATCCGTATATTTTAAGTTAAAAATTGTTTTCATTACTTAAAGTTTTAAAGTTCTATAAATTCTTGGTTTCCGGTTCACAGAAACAAACTTATAAGTTTTCTAAGGTTTTGATAAGAAAGGTTTGATGAGGGTTTAGTGTAACTTGATAAGATACTGATTTAATATCTATTATTTAAACTGAGAACCAAGTTTAAGGTTAAACATGGACGGGTTGGATATTTTCTCTAGTTTACATATTCTACACACAAATCTTCTTGGATTACAGGTTTAATATCTTAGGTTTCAATAGTTTCGTTTTAGTCATTAGTCATACATTTTGACAGCTTAATACTTATTTATTCATTTCTTCAGGTTTAATATGACTCCACATTCATTTCTCCAGTTTTAATTCTTATTCATTCATTTCTTCAGGTTCAATACTAATTAATTCATTTCTCCAGGTTTTACATGTTTCATACTTAGTCATTATTTTTTCAAGGTCTGGAACTTATTTAATTACTTCTCTGGTCACATACTCATTTAATACTCCAGGTTTCAACACACTTTTTCATTAATTTTCTAGGTTCGGATGAACTATATTGAGGATAATGGGAAACTCAGTTTACTAAACAAACTCAGGAATAACTCAAAAGAATTTAAAGCTTAATCAAAATTTGATATATTTCCTTTTTGGGTAATAACAGACAATTTGTCCATGTATATAAATATTTTTTTTTTCGATGCTTGATTATTTGTACTTTAATTTTTGCATGTACATTGTACAGGTTCCTTCAGTACATGAAACGTTGCGTTTGAGGTTTATGTACAATTAGTAAGAAATGTGGAGAGAAAGAGATTACAGAAATGCTTAAAGCTCACAACCCTGCCAGGTACAGTATTTGTATAGTTTTGTCTCACTCAATTTATTTTTCATTTGGTTTAATTATCAGTTTTGTAATAATCTTAGCTTTGGTTGCTGATTTATTTAGTTTTTGTCCTTTTTTAAATAGCAACAATTTCAAATTTGGTAGATTTTTCCATTTTCAAAAGAGTTTTAATTTTTGTCAAACCATTTTGTTTATCCTTAAAATATACAACCCTGAAAATCCTCAATTTTTGTGGGTAACCCTTTACATGAGTAAAATTGCTGGTTTATTAAAAACTGTCAATTTCATCTTTTTTTCATAAGAATTTTCTGGCAATTTATCAAATTGAGGGATGATATCTTGAATTTCTTTAAAATTATTTTTCAGGTTAAAAACTGAACTGTTCCAGGAAATAGAAACGTTATTAGGTAGATTGTTCTCTTTCTGTGTCTAAATATACTTAAAAGAGCAAAAAAAATTTAGACTTTTAAGTTCAAATTATTTAACTGATTATTTAAAATATTTAAACGTTAACATTATTGAACTTTAATATGAACGATCTTAAATACCACGAAAAAAAGATGATTAAGATAAATATCAAAGAATGCTTTAACAAATACAGAGTGTTCTAATAATTTAATTTTTGTTTTAAAGAACTCTAGAAAAGTTGATATCCCTGACTAGAGCATCATATCGTTTAAAGAACTCTAGAAAAGTTGATATCCCTGACTAGAGCATCATATCGTTTAAAGAACTCTAGAAAAGTTGATATCCCTGACTAGAGCATCATATCGTTTAAAGAACTCTAGAAAAGTTGATATCCCTGACTAGAGCATCATATCATTTAAAGAGCTCTAGAAAGTTTAAATCCCTGACTAGAGCATCATATCATTTAACCTTCTCAATTTTCTTCAATTAGTGTCTTTTGTTCACATAGTATATTATCGAAAACACAATTAATATGTTTTGAATTTTTTATAGAAATTAGAAAAGGAATTGAGTCTTTGTAACAAACTCTGATTTTCTAATACCTGTAATTTTTCCACCTGATGGTGTAAACCTTTGATATTTTCAAACTTAGATTTTTTCATCTAACAGAATTCATAGTTTGAAATATCTAAGGTCTACGGCATTGGGTTACAAAGATATAGAAATTAGAAAATCATAGTTTGTGACAAAGACTTATTTCCTTTCTGATAAGTTCTTTTTTTGAATCTTTTTAAAACACATAATTTACATTGGGCACTGGACTAAAAAGGTCTCTAATTCAACAATTTTATATCTTTAGGAATTGTATTTTTATACTTTTTATTATTTAAAATGGAGTTGCAGACCAAAGATTATTTAAGAGGAAAGGCGTGAAAAATGATTTGTGATAGAAATCACAGCTTGCTGGATTAAGGACCGTTTTAAATTCTCGTGATGATTTGTACTAGAAATCACAGCTTGCTGGATTAAGGACCGTTTTAAATCCTCGTGATATTGACTAAACCTAAATTGATTCCATTTTGGGCAACCATTTTGGGCAACCATTTTAGGCAACCATTTTTGGCAACCATTTTGGGCAACCATTTTGGGCAACCATTTTGAAATGGAAATATTGATAAATATTATTTTATACTGGTAAGAATTAATATTTGCAAGCCAGAGTTTGTGCATTTCAAGGCAAATGTAAGTACTTGTTATGAAGCAATTAAATTAACCGTGAATTGTGCATTTTGGTGCAATTCAAACCATAAATTAGGTTTAAGCATATAATCATATTAATAAAATATATGAAAGCAATGAGGAAAAACCAAAAAATTTAATCCTTTTGTTAAGAATCCAAGGATCTTGTATCCGTCGGGTTGGATTTACTCCGGAGAATGGAAAGATCAGGGATGGAGCTGGATCTATCCTTCTCTCCAACCTTATCCTTCCTCACACTAAACCTTGTGACGGATCTGATGGTTCTTCTAAGTTTAATCAGGTTTTTAATATATTTTGGCACGACATGTTTAAAAAAATTTTGACCGAAAGGAATTGAGTTTTTGCCCGAAACTCAAATTTTCCAATCCCTATATCTTTGCAACCTGATAGTGTGAACATTTGATATTTCAAAATTAGACTATTTGAACTAACAGAGTTTGTGCCTAAAACTAGATTCCTTTTCTCTGGATCTCACTTTTTTATATTATATTTTGTCCCTCGCTATTATTATCTTTTAAGATCTTAAAATCTTGAAAAATTTCTTGAAAAAGAGAAAATTTCTGTCCAAAAAAATGTATGCACTTCGAACCAAAATAATCCATATACTAAAGCTTTTTGCTAATATATATATATATTTATAGACACAGTGTTTCGTCCTATTAGGACTCATCAGTATGGCTCAATTCATCAGTTTATTGATTTTGCAGTATTTATATATATATGTTAACAAACGGCTGAACAAAAATGACTGTATTTTTTATGGAACCTATGGGGGTACACCGGGGTTAACAAAGACTATAAAATTGAAAAAATATTCTCTTCTCAAATTCGTTTTTTATTCCACGGACAACGCCGGGAATTTCAGCTAGTTGTTTTGAAAGTATCTAATACATTGTATATCAGGAATATGATACTTATAATATGGAGTGTGAAGAGACTAATAAGTTTCAACGTAAGACTAATTTTTGTGAGCAATTACAGACTTTTAGGAAACATAAAAAAATGTTTGTTTTCCGCAGAATCTTACAGAATTTTACTAACAATTTAAATTTTTTTTATAGAAGAGCAATGTTTAAAACTGAACTAGTCTTGTCCTTGTCTATCATTTAAAAAAATAGTTTTTCAGTTTTTTTTAATAAAAAGCAAACATACACATTATGTGATATTTTATGGGGGAGCGGATGGGAGAAAAGACAGATTGTCTCCTGCCAAATGTAGAGTAAAATCTTTAATTTCAGGAATGTGAAAAATATAAAACTTCTTCCTAAAATTTACTCTAGTCTGGATCCTGTAAGAGAAGATGAAATGAAGGTTATTAAACCTGGAGTTTATCTATTTGTATACTTTGCTTGCCTGTCTGTTTGTTTGTCTGTTTGTTTGTTTGTCTGTTTGTTTGTATCCAATAAAAATCAAAACGGCTGAACCGATCGGGCCCTACCTCGCCTGACCCTAGGGAAGGTTCATGAATGATCGAATTTTAAAGAATTTGCCTCTAACAAAATTTAATTAATCTACCACTGTAAACTAACCAGAATTAAGGAGAAGGTCAAATTCAATTGTTCTTACTGTTACAACTTTGTGACACCGTTGCTCCTTTAGTTCTTATTTTATACACATGTGAAGAAAAGACAATTTATTTGGTTATATATTATGAAATCAAAACATTTTTGATCTTCTCAATAGCTCTTTAATTAATGGAGTTATTCTAAAAACATATAAAATTACAATCTTATGCGCATTTTACTTTAGTTTGACGTGCTACGTTCAGTAACTTTTGAAAATAATACTTCTTGGAATAGTTTATTTTCTGAGCCTCGGCTAAAAATGACCGACACGGTTAATGTTATTGTAAATCTATGGAAATATTTCCATAAAAAAAGAATTATTAATTACAAAATTGGTTTGTTTGTTATTAAAAATCAATTTCTTTATTATTTTAATATTATTCCAGGTCCTGGAGAACTTTCTGGAGAAATATAGTCGTTCAGTTCCTGCTCTGACAACAGAACTTTCTCCATGTAGGTAATTGAAACAGGATACAGGTATAGGATACAGGATGCAAGAAACAGGATACAGGTATAGGATACAAGATGCAAGAAACTGGATACAGGGTACAAAATATGCACATGATGCAGGATGCAGGATGCAGGATGCAGGATACAGTTATATGACATGGTAATCAGGTTACAAGAAAGATGATACAGTTTACAGGATAAGGATAAAAGTTACAAGATACAGGGCACCAGAATACAGGATACCAAATATTTAATACAGGATAAAGAACATGTTATTATAAGCTCAAGATACAGGGTATAGGGCACATGATACACGATACAGGATACTGCAAAATGATACAGAATTTTTAATATTAATAATGTTTCGTCAAATTTTAGAAGGATGTTAGTTCCATGTGTTCTCTCTGCTGGGAAGGTTTTATCTAAACTAGGTGAAGAAAGGTGTTTTTTGCAGAAAACTTAAACTTTCTTATCCGTATATCTCTGCAACTTAATTGTGTAAACCTTTAAAATTTCAAAATTAGAACGTTTAATCTACCAGAATTCATCAAAGGTCAAAGACATGTGGTTGCAAAGAAATAAAAAAATCAGAGTTTGTGGCAAAGCGTCCTTTGATTTCAAAAGTATTTCAAATCCTAGCTTTATCATACAATCTTGAAACATATTTTTCTTCAGAGAATCGTGCCAAGTTGCTGGTTGAAAACCTACTCCAATCCTCCTTCATTCTAATTAACCCGGATGAACTAGACGGAAACACTACAATATCTGATACATTCAACGAGCAAACCCTCTCCAGGGTTGTCTTCTTCTCATTTATCCTTCTAGGTTTAGTTAACATTCTTCTCATTTATTCTTCTAGGTTTAGTTAACATTCTTCTCATTTATCCGTCTAGTTTAGTTAACATTCCTTTCATTTATTCTTCTAGGTTTAGTCAACTATTTAGAAAAAAACTTGTTCAAATAATCAAACAGGGTTACCCACAAAGGATGAGAATATAAAGACGACCTGAATCTTACAAAATACAATAATACCAAGGTTAAATTAAGTCTTTTCTCTTGAATTGCTTGTTTAATGATTTTTCAAAGATTGAAAGAAGTGAAAGTTGCTAAATATTGTGATTATGAGGGATCAGACAATATAATATCCGTACATTTATCTCTGAAGTCTCATCCTTTGTAGGTTACCTTTTATAATGTGTATCATGTACATTTACTTGCGCATTCACTGGTTTTCTGTTTTTTTTAAAACTAGTTTTATTATTCTATTCATTTTCAAGATCCCTGTGATAACAAGTTATTTTGATCTAAAAGATAAACCTGGAAAATCCTTCTTTTATTTCCATGAATTTAATAAATATTTTACACATTTTTAGAATAATGTTTTTGAAATTGAATCCATCAAACTTATCCAGATATATCATGACTCTTCTTAAAACCATATATAAGGTTTTATTTGTCAAAAAATATTGTTCTGTATAATAACACAAGGAAGTACATTTTTGTTAAAGTAAAGCCCTGAAAGATCTCTCAGCTAAATCAATTTATTTGTTAGATTTGCCCTGGAAAGTATCTGGTATAGATGATTCAGGGTTCCAGGTTCTTGAGAAGATTCTATCTGAGAACCTTGCCACCACATTGTTCAGGTCTAATAGAACTAAAAGTATAAAGGACTCTCGCTTTAAATTTTTTTTTATAGATTTAACAATAGCATTTTTCTTTTACATTTGTAAACAATAATAGCCAAGTATTTTTACAGATTTTCAGTTTATGTGAGTAAATTATCAAAATCAAAATGATATTTCAACAATGGAACCGAGTTTATGCAACCTTAGATTTTTCAAATTTAGATTATGTGATCTAACAAAATTCATAATTTGAAATATCAAGGATCTACCACATTGGATTAAAAAGATATGTGGATTAGAAAATCAGATTTTGTAGTAAAGATATTCTAGGTTTAATGACTACCATTTGATGGGATATTTAAAAAAAAAATGCAAAAAATGTGATGAAGGAACATTTGATTTTTCATACTGAGAACCTTTAATCCAGGAACAGTTTTTCCTCATTACATGGAACACTCCTGGAGCTAACTAGGAATAAACCGGATAGGGAGAAGGAAAGAAAAATAAATGCATAAACATTAAATAGTTCCAAACTCTTAACCTCATAACTTAATAATAATAATTATATCTATACTCTGTGTCGCAATGTCTTGGCCTTTGATTTTTGTAGCTCTAGACAAATACATTTTAAAGTTAAAATTTACAAAGTGCTTAAGTTTAAAATGAGTAATTTGCAAAATACTACTTGATTTTTGTTTTAGAGGGTGCACAGTGTGCAGATCTTGGTTTGCATTGAACTCTTAACTTCATAGTTTACCTATCATAGTTTACCTATCATAGTTTACCTATCATGTTTGGAAAATGTTTCAAGACTAAATCTGTCAAATGTTTAGTCATGAAAACTTTTGGTTTTATAAATTCTTGAGTAGATATTGATTGGGTTTATTTTGCTTAATACTTACATTGAAAAGTTTGAACCTTTCAAAAAAAATGAAACTCTTTCGTAACTTTAGGAATATAAAATTCATTTTTTCCTTGTCAATTAATTTCTTCAAGTAAAAGATTTAGCTAAAATCCCCAGATTTGACAAGGGGTCTGATTAATTACTCCAGGTATATATTCACTCCTTTGTCCCCGGAGTAGAACAAGAAAATATCCGTCCTTCAAGGTTGGGAAGAGAAAACAAATTCAAGGTAATTTGTAAAAACAACTTGTGTTATTAAAAATGAATGTTTAGGACGTTTTTTAAAAAGCTTAAATGCAAATAATAAATTGGTGAAGAAACATATTTTCTATTCTCATTAATCAAATATGTAATTTCAAAATATATTTCTTCATCCTTGATTTTAATCATATTTAGTATGAGAAAGGAGCATAAGGAGAAAAGAATGAAACTTGTGATTGTACTGGAGGAGTATTTGTATATTCTAGGAATACATTATATTTCAGTAGGAATATTGGAGGGGATAACCATAGAGAATAGAATATATAGAGAGAAATTTAATGGAAAAAAGTGTAAAACGGCAATTTTGTTGTACTGTTTCCATACTGCAGGTGTACTTCACATATTTATGCTATATAACCTGTTGGGCCCTAGAATATCATTATATAAAAAATCTAAAATTATTGTTAAAAGAAAACCAAATTATGAAATAGGCTGGTTTCATAATTGACCAATGATCATTTCACGAAGACTCTATGCCTTCCACTTCACAAACGATGATTTTCCGTTATAACTATAAATCAAATGATGTTTTTATTCACCTAATTCATTATAAAGTTTATTTAACAGTTTAAAAAATTCGAAATTGAAATGGATAGTCTATGGAATATACTGTATTAATGTACTCTACTGCATATAATTTGTGAACATTTACATGATTTGTACACTTTGAACTCCCTTTCAGGCTGAAAGGGACTGAAAAAATTCATACCGAGAGATTCTTTTAATTCCTCTCTATATATTCTATTCTCTATGGGGATAACATATTTTATTCCACGGCTTTCATTGAACAGAAGTACACTTACGTTCTTCTGAGCCCGTTCTCTCCATAGATAGTGGTCGTGTACTTCACGTACTTTGGGGGACGATATGTTGGCCGCTAGATGTCTCATGCTAAATTCTTATCGAATAGATAGATAATTTCTCCGTTCACTTAACGACCAATATATGAGACGTCAAGTTGTCGACCAATGTAGTTTATGGAAGGAACGGCATCTGATTGGTCATTTGTTCTACACAATGAAGACGATAGTAAAATAATTGACCAGTGAAATTTTTTATTTTAATCAATGCGCAGTAGTCCAATTGAATTCTCCCTCTCTAATTATATTTATTTATCGTAGTATTAGTGAATTTTAACGGAAATAATGATGTATTATAAGAGGATGCTCCTGTTCTAATTGGTCCCAAATTCTTGATGATCATGACGTTTCTATCACAGGTTTAAATCCTACACTTTGCTTTGCTTGTTTAACTATTATACTTGAAAGCTAACGAAGGCTCAGATTTAATTAGATTTTTTTATGATTTATTTAAGTAATCTTATCTTAGCATGCATTAACAACAGATCCCAAGATGAAATTTTAATATTCCAAATATAAGTTGGTTCAGGTTTGAATATGAAGAAAGATCAGGGTTATAAACATTCATTAATTTTAATTAATAAACTTGGTTTAAGCACAATCAAATATTGCTACTTTCAGGCTAACAGTGAACTGAGGTGGTGGGCACTGCATTCAAGCTTTCTCCGTCTTAGAGGAGAAATATTTGAAAATGACGCAGATATAGTTTCTCTAATCTACTACATATTTAGGTAGTTCTCTAATCTACTATATATTCAGGTAGTTCTCTAATCTACTTTATATTCAGGTAGTTCTCTAATCTACTATATATTTAGGTAGTTCTCTAATCTACTACATATTTAGGTAGTTCTCTTATCTACTATATATTCAGGTAGTTCTCTTATCTACTACATATTTAGGTAGTTCTCTTATCTACTACATATTCAGGTAGTTCTCTAATCTACTACATATTTAGGTAGTTCTCTTATCTACTACATATTTAGGTAGTTCTCTAATCTACTACATATTTAGGTAGTTCTCTAATCTACTGTATATTCATGTAGTTATCTAATCTACTATATATTCAGGTAGTTCTCTAATCTACTATATTCAGGTAGTTCTCTAATCTACTACATATTCAGGTAGTTCTCTAATCTACTATATATTTAGGTAGTTCTCTAATCTACTATATATTTCACGCACCTCTGCCCCTTTAGTAAAAGTAAATTCAACCTATATCAAAAGTCTGACCGCGTCAACCTTGTTGCACCGGCTAGTCCTGTCCATAGAGCTAGGTACAGTACAAACTGGGAACGGAAAGGTTGACCCGGATCGGAAATTCAAATGTACTATAACAGCTGCCCGTGATTTAGATAGTTCTTAAATCTACTACATATTTAGGTAGTCAAAATTTTCTAAATCAATTAAAATGCAAATTAAATAAAAAAGTAATGAAATTCTTTTCTAAAAAATACAAAAAATAGCAAACTTTTTGCCTTTTAGATACAAAATCTTGTTAAAACGCAACAGGGATGATCTTCTTCAATATTCTCTCAAATCTCTCAGGAAATTCAGAATCTAAGCAAATGCAGAGAGCCGGCTACAAGTTTATTTTATATGACTATTTTAAAAGTGTTCTGTTTTCGTAATGATGAAGTTTCTGACAGAATTTTCTCAGATCTATTGATGTTAGTGAACTAAGAGAACAACTTGGAAATATTGACTTCAAAGAAGAGTTCCAGGTATATAACATGGTCTAGGAGTAGGGCAGTATCTATAGGTAGTTCTAGGTATATAAAATGGTCTAGGAGTAGGGCAGTATCTATAGGTAGTTCCAGGTATATAACATGGTCTAGGAGTAGGGCAGTATCTATAGGTAGTTACAGGTATAACATATAAGAGGCGGTAGGTTGACAAATTATAAGATACAGGAAACGATTTTTCCCAGGTATATGATCTAGGAGTAAGATACATTCAAGGAATAATTGATGTTAGGACAGGACAAGTATCAAACCTGACTTATTATTAGAATATCGCATTTGTTCAAAGTGTAAAACCAGAGAAGTTTGAATGAGAATTCACATCTTCTCTTTCAGGATGTTATTCTTGAAGCTCTGGATTCTCTTGAGACAATCAAGGATGGAGGAAATATCCCTGATAACTTTGTTCTTCTCTTCTCCAGGCTTCTAACTGTTCTCACGGTCAAACTAGAACAGGGAAGATGGATCATTATTATCGCAAATTTTTTCAATAATAATTAACGCCGTTTATTTTATGTAGTGTGTCCCAACTCAAAAAATAATAAATGAAAATGATATTTTTTCACTAGAGTTCATGTGTCAGCCGAAAATCTCCACAGCTCTATGCTCTTCTAGGAAATTACTTGAATTTTAAAAGATTTATTTAATTCACATAATTTCCAGTTTACTTATGCACAGGTTGATGACAAACTTTTGTTTTTCAAGGTTAATGATTGTTTAAAGAGATTATATGCCTACATGGTCGGATACTCTTGGAGGAACTGGAGAGTTCATTTCAGGGTTTAGATCTATCATTTCTCTATTCTGTCAGGGAATCAGTTGAAGAACTCTTTCTCCAGGTAGGAATTATACCTGGCAGCATTAACCAAATCCAGCAACAGTTCTGCAATCTAGGGTCAGAAAATAATTGTTGCATAGATATATTAAGATTAAAAAGTGGGCCTATATAGACAGAGAGAAAAATGTTGGACTAAACAAAATATAACAATTTCCTGTTTTATGGCAATAAATGTTCAAAGGTTTAAAACTTTGCCAACATAAAAAATCACTATTTTCTCACACATTGTCCATTGTCCAAACTATCTTTTCAGTGTAAATCAGTGATCCATCCCAACCTAACTCAACTAATAGCCTTTCCAGCGCTCTGCCAGGATCTTCCCAAGATTCTATCAACTAAATGTTCTGAGGTAGAAATTTATATCTGCATAGATTGTAGTTTTTGTAAAAGAAACGGTATTCTAATATCTTATTGAAGCCTATAAAAATATAGGGCACTTTTAAACACTTTTAAACACTCTTAAAAACGTTTCAACACTTTTAAACACTTTTAAACAAGGATTTGAGTATTTGCACCAAAATCACATCTTCTAATCCCTATATCTTTCGAACCTGATGGCGTTAATCTTTGATATGTTAAACTTACGTTATTTGTTGAAACAGAATTCATGGTTTACAGAATTGGGTTGCAAAGATAAAGGGATTTAAAAATCAGAGTTTGTGGCAATGACTCAATTCCTTTCTGTTTAAATATTTTTAAACTGATCATAAAAGATTCAAAAGTTTTGCCTCAAAAGAAAAGATCTTCTGATTCTATACTTTGCTATGGAAGGAGTATGAAGTAGTGGTCACCGAATGTAATAGTCTTGCAACTCAGTTTCTTCAGGCCATTGTAGGTAATACATTTTTTAGATATATCACGAACTTACCTATTTAAATATATAAATTTATAAATATATAAATATAAATTTTAGAAAATCATAATTAAAACTTGATTCACTCTTTGAGATAAGGAATTGAGTCTTTGCCACAAACTCTGATTTTCTAATCTCTTTTTTTGCAACCCAATGTCGTAGAACTTCGATATTTCAAACTATAAAGTCTGTAAGATCAAAAAGTCTAAGTTTGAAATATCAAAGAATTATAAATTTATAGAATCATAAAATTACCTTTATAAAATATATATTCAACAAAATACTAATTAAACGAAATCCACTCTGTGAGATAATTTTATACTAATAATGGATTCTTTTATTTGTGAATCTATTAACAATAAAAACCTAAAAGTAACATTGGTTGAATATACAAAATAAAGAGAATGGATTTGTCTGAATGAATATTTAAGCAATACTAAAATTTATTTTTATAAATATTTTTTGTAGGAAACCTGATTAAAGATCTAAATAAATATGTTTTGTAGGAAACCTGATTAAAGATCTGGAAAAATATGTTTGGTAGGAAACCTGATTAAAGATCTAAATAAATATGTTTTGTAGGAAACCTGATTAAAGATCTAGAAAAATATGTTTGGTAGGAAACCTGATTAAAGATCTGAATAAATATGTTTTGTAGGAAACCTGATTAAAGATCTAAATAAATATGTTTTTTAGGAAACCTGATTAAAGATCTTTTGTAGGAAACCTGATTAAAGATCTGGATAAATATGTCAGGGAACCACCACCTGCCTTAAATTAACATATCAACATATTTAAAAATAAAAATAATTATATATTACCTAATCATGACTAAAGACAATTGTGTGGGTTTATGGTTAAACTACTAGAGCTGAACTCCAAGCTCAAGATGAACTTCAACCCTGGAGAGCAGCAACCAAGGTTCATCAGAAGATCTCCGGAAAGAGAAGGAAGGGGAAGAAGGTGGAAGGAGAAGAGGAAGAGGAGGATGTAGAGAAGGAAATAATCCGTAAAATATCTGCTGCTGAGAAACAGGATAAATCATCGAATAAAAAGGAAAAAACTTTCTCTAGGTAAAATTATGCTAATTTGAATTTTAGAAAAAGTTTTAGGAAAAATATGCTAACATTTTGGCGGCGTACTCTTAAGAGAATCTCAACTTTCAATTCTTTTCAGAAATATATGAAAAAAAGATATCTTTGATTCATATAATTAAAGTATGTAAAAATAGGTCCTAGCTCTACTCTTTCTAATCTTTCATTTTTACAAGATGGGTGTTGTTCTTAATCCCCTGTTCTCTGATCCTCCCCAACTCCTGATCTGGGTTTCCCCTTACTAGTTGTATGGTCTCACCCGTCATGTGTTTTATTTCAGGATATAGCATTCAAACAGCTATGCTAGCTATATCCTTTTGCTATTCTAAATAGAAGAAACAATTTTTTCTAACAATTTTGTAAATTTAACTGATATTTAGCCATAAACGTTATATATATTATTATTATACTTTTATTGCCATATTTGATTTTTCTTATCTCGCATTTTTGGTACACGTTCCATAACCCAGATTATACACAATGTATCTAATTTTTCTAACGTAGATTCCTTTGTAAACAGCTGGTTATTACTTAGGCCTTGGTAAATAAAAGATTATTGAAAACAGTTCAAATTTTATTTATTTGAATAGTAGATCAAAATCTACATTTAAAAAAAACAAAGAAAAATCCATTCTGAAAACATGCAAATGAGGTGTAAAACCACTAGAAATATGATTTTCATAAAGAAAGATATAAACATAAATGATTAGGTCTGAAACGCAAGGTATACTTCGGCAGAATATCGTAGAGCTTGAAGAATGCTGTCTCCAGGTGGAATGTATCCATGTAGGTCAACACATGTATTCACCTCCAGCCTTCCTTGCAAACAGAATCAAACTCTACATCAACAACTTTATTGGTTAGTTACAAACACAATACTCTAATACAGTCATCATCGTATATAAATTAATATACTGAAGACGACTTTTAATTTTAATTTTTGATTTCAAGTTTTTATGCAGCATGGATTGGCTGTAAAGTAACAGCTTCTCTATGTTTACTTTAAACTTGTAATATGGTAAAATATTGTTATAAATCAAAACTTAAATAGAAAAGACCTCTTCATTGTATTGATATAAACGCCGACCTAAAAACAATTAAGATTAAAATGAAGAGATATCCGGCAAGCAGAATTGGAAAAAAAAATTTATATGGGTAGGCGGGGTTTGCTTAGAAAATTATCTTCATTTAAATCCAATCCATACCGCCTCTGCCCATTTGATTATATTAGCTGTATTCAGGGACAAATGCAATTTTTTTGTTCTTTAAAGAAAATATTTTGTTGTCACAACCTTTTTGACTTATTCTAAACGTGGTGATATTAAAAAGAAGATATTTGTTTGAAATCAAATATTTAGTTGAAAGTATCCAATATCCTGTTCTTCCATCTCAAGCATTCAACAAAATATCAGGTTTCTAAATATATCTTTTACCTACAACGGTGGTCCTTTATTTTGTATAAAATGGAATACAACGACGACCTCTAAAGCAAAAGTTTTCCACAAATGATGCCCTTTCTTTTCCACGATATGCAGCAATTTAGCTTTTGTGGTTAAAAAGACATTCACAACATTGGCTTTACAAAGTTCAGTTCAGTTTTCCAAACCTTAGTTTAGTCTTAATACTTAGTTCAGGTTTCTAAACCTTAGTTTAATCTAAATTTTTAGCTCAGTCTTCTGAACCTTACTTTAGTCTAAAAAATCCGGTTCATTTTTCTAAACCCTAGTTTAGTCTAAAAACTTCAGTTAAGATTTCTAAACCTTTGTTTAGTCTAAGCGAGGGAGGGGGTGCAGAGGCGCCAAGAACCCAGCAAAAATGACCTCCGAGCCTCCAGATTTGCAGAATGATCTCCAGGCCCTGCGAAACCGTCTCCATGTCTCTCGCTAGTTCTACGAGCCTTCATCATTTTGTCTTCACACCCCGCATTTTAATCTCCGCTTCTTTTTTTGTATTTTTTTTTACAATTTATAACTTAACCAACCAAAAATCAAAATATTTCTCTTCATAGTAGTTTTGCAATAGTTTAAAGAATCGTTTAATCGACACATTTGAAGTATTAATTCATTCAATTGATCCAAAGTTTGTTTTTTGTAAAAAGTTTACATAAAAGATGGTATGCGTAAAAGACGACCTTTATAAAATACTTTAATATCTTTGAAGACATCATGATTTGAAGATTATGTTAACTCTATTGAGTCCTTAGCATTAAATTTTATCATAAGATGCAAATTAATGAGGGTCCGCCCTATAGTAACAGGTAAAGTGACAGGTAGATGATTGACTAAACAGGTTTCACGACGCTGCCCTGTCCTGTTGATATAGCATGTTATAGATATTTATGCTATTTTAATTTTTTTTCTTCAACTTAAAAAAAATAGTTCTTCAATGTTTTCTGAAGCATTCAATAAAAGCACAAATTCAAGGATTTCACAAAAACTACTGTGTTTTGTAAGTTGCTGCTGATATAGTTTGATTCATACATGAAACCCCTGTGAAATAATAAAAAATTTGTCTTTATACAAATCTTTATACAAAACTGCAATAGTTCTTCACAATTTAAGGAATTTGTGAAATTCAGAAAAACAAAAATGAAATCTTTAATCTCCATTAAAATGGACTTTTTAATACAGTTTGTTAATGTTTCATTGTAAACTCTTTTATTATGTTGAGATTTTTCGAAAAAAAAGGCTTTTGGTTGATGTAAAAGCCAAATATTTTTTGTTGATGACCAAAATGCGGGGCGTGGAGACAGAATGGCGGAGGCTCGGAGACGTAGTAAGAGGCACGGAGACGGTTTTTCTGGGCCTGGAGTTCATTTTGCAAATCTGGAGGCTCGGAGGTCATTTTTGCAGGGCGCATGGCGCCTCTGCGCACCCTCCCTCTTTCAGCTTTAGTTTTCAGGTTATAAGCTTTGCAGTACGGTTGAAAAGCTTGAGTTCAATTTATAAGCTTTCTTATCGTTTAGTTTTTAGAAACTTCAAAAATAATTTCACTTTTTTAAATATTTTTTTTAAAAACTCTATAGGTATGCTGAGAAGTGTTGGAAATTGTACGGTAGGACTAGAGATTTGTTCCTTGTACCGAGATGTAATGATGGATCTTCAGGATACTAAACCTACAACTCTGGATCTTTATGTAACCAAGGAATGTTGAAGAAAGAGATGCTTTTAAGGTTTTCATTAACTTGTCATATTAAACTTTTTTTTCTTTTTTTTTGGTATGATTCTTCAACATTTATCTAGTATTTAGAGGAGGTAACGAAAACCATCCTGGCCCCAAACTGTCACTTTAACAGCCTTCTCAATTGCTTCTGTATCCTTAACAATAAAATGGAGATACAGTATACTAGAATACAAGAGTTAACTAGCTCCAGGTAGTTACAGTATACTAGGATACAAGAGTTAACTAGCTCCAGGTAGATACAGTATACTAGGATACAAGAATTAACTAGCTCCAGGTAGATACAGTATACTAGGATACAAGAATTAACTAGCTCCAGGTAGATACAGTATACTAGGATACAAGAGTTAACTAGCTCCAGGTAGATACAGTATACTAGGATACAAGTTAAGAGTTAACTAGCTCCAGGTAGATACAGTATACTAGNCCCCCCCCTCCTCCCTGGATTCTGAGTTTGAATGATGAATGTTTGAGGTTTGGAAGGTCTGTACTCCTTAAATAACCCTGATATTTAGGTCACCTCTGTCAACCCTGACACCCCAGCAATAAATTAACAAAGCTGCAAATAAATTTAACAAATGCATTATAATGAGGTTGAAATATAATTGATGATAATTTTACAGACTTTCCAAACTTTCAGGAGTAAAAAGAAAATGCATGAATATAGATTTTTTTTCACTTTCGGAACAGAAAAATAATCTTGGGGAAAAAATCGAAAAGGGAAAATAATAAAATGAGACTTAATTCACGGGATCCAAGTTTCAGTCAAAACAAAAGTTATTTAAGTGCTTTTTAAAAACCGGAAATAAGAGTCCATGGAGACTAATTTGATTTTAACTTTGAAATTGAGAAATGTTTGATTTTTAACGTAACATTTATATAATTTAACTTTTAAATATAAAAATACTATTCGGAGACCTAAAATTCATTTTTGAGTCCCAGTGATTTAGGATAACAATAATATGGGGAAATCAATACTAGAAGAGGACAAAAATATTTTAAAGTAATACTAGAAGAGGACAAGAATATCTCAAAGCAATACTAGAAGAGGACAAGAATATCTTAAACCAATACTAGAAGAGGACAAGAATATCTTAAATCAATACTAGAAGAGGACAAGAATATCTTAAAGCAATACTAGAAGAGGACAAGAATATCTTAGCCCAGGGAAGGTTTATGAATCATCAAAATTTCAAATATTTGTCTTCATCAAAATTCGATCGTCATTAAATTTTTTAAAATTTTGAAAATCCGCGAATTATTTTTGTTTTGTTTTACGATGTACACAAAGAGAACATGTTCACAACTAATTTAGAAGATGGGCGCGAAGCGCCCTCTAAGGCTAGTATTTTAAATATTATAATGTATTTTCTGGAAGTTACAGAAAATAAATATTTTTAGTTGAATTTTCAAATACCGCACTAGACGAACTAGACTAGACATGGAATATTCAGAATTTAGTGAAATACAGGGTGTCCCAATAAACATGGGAATTAAGTGACTACTTTTATATCGTCTTCGATCCATGCGGCATTTTTTTCATGAACACAATTATTGTGCAATTTTCCAGTTTCTAAAGTCGAAAACGCCTGGTCTTCAGATTAGGAAAATGTGTTCTACTATTTTTTTATCTTCAAAATTGACGGAAATATTGCAAAATTTGCAACAAAAAAATATTATGTACTAAATCAAAATTGTCTTAATATCTAATATCTTCGTCAATTTTTAAATAAAGGTAGACACCTTTATGAAAACACGTAAAACGTACACAGTACAGCCTTGGTTTTACAATTTCTTTGCCATGCATAAATATCAGAAATCAAAGACGACTTTCAAGTTGTCTCTCAATTCCCATGTTTATTGGAACACCCTGTATGTGAGATCAATTGCGTCAGAATTGATCGATGATCAAATAGAATATTTAAAAGGTAACGTTCCTTGATTAATAAATCTCCTTCTCTAGTGATCTGACCGGCCTGGTTGAGTTGACAGGATTAAACGGGATTAAGAGTATTTACTCCTTTTTACAGTCCAGGATTAGGAATAGAATAGAATACTGTAAACTTTAAGCATAAAACCACGACGAATGGGATAATTAAGAAACTATTAGAGCCTCTTAAAGGGACTGTGGACGTAATTATGACCTTTAATATGTATATTAGCATGTCCGATTCACTTTCAACCACTTTATAAGTTTAGGGTCAATTGAAATTATGTGTACAGTCCCTTAGATCTAATATATGCATAAATGGTAAACAATAGAAATAGGAAGGTCTGCAATCTTATTGCCCTTTTTACACATAAATGTGTCATCACAAAAAAGGACGGAGAAAAGAATGTGTTTTAATATATATTTCCAGTATTTGTTTAACTTTTTTGCTATTTTACACGGATTTCTATTTAATCTATCAGTGATGGTTTAGAGAAGGTTTTCAGGTTAGAATTAGATTTTTTATATGATTGGATAAATATAATTCAGAACCATATCCGTAGTCACATTGAGTCTGGAGAAGATACTGATCCTAAACCTGACTTCATCGAACCAGCAATACAGGTATATACCTATAATATATATACACGGGGAAACTTTTAGTCGTCTTTGATTTACGCGATATATCATGAACAAAATGATTTAGTAAAATTACTCTTGCACAATTAAGACCAAAAACTCTTAGTTTCGGGATTTCCAAAAAGTAGAATGTTATTTTTCAAGTCGTATTTTAATTCCTATGTTACTGGGACACCGTATATTGTACAGGAGAAATGAACAGTGTGGAAGGGAAACTGAGATAAAAAAGATTATGTGTAAAGGTTGGGAAGATGATTAAACTTCTGGAACTAGTTGAAGAAAACTGTCTCGATGTATCCAGGTAACTTAGAGAACTTTTTATTCAGAAACAAGAAATAATCTGTGTTCTTTAGATCACGTTGTAAGTTTATGGTGGAGCTCTGGGAGTATATTTTAAACTCCTGTCCTTCTCACCTTCCTGTTCCTATAGAGCTCCTCCAGATAGGAGCAGTCCTTGGATGCACACAGGTTAGTTCCTGCTCTTCCTATCTTCCTGTTCCTATAGAGCTACTCCAGATAGGAGCAGTCCTTGGATGTACACAGGTTAGTTCCTGTTCTTCCTACTTTCCTGTTCCTATAAAGCTCCTCCAGATAGGAGCAGTCCTTGGATGCACACAGGTTAGTTTCTGTTCTACCTATCTTCCTGTTCCTATAGAGCTCCTCCAGATAGGAGTAGTCCTTGGATGCACACAGGTTAGTTCCTGTTCTTCCTACTTTCCTGTTCCTATAAAGCTCCTCCAGATAGGAGCAGTCCTTGGATGCACACAGGTTAGTTCCTGTTCTTTCTATTCTTCCTGTTCCTATAGATCTACTCCAGATAGGAGCAATCCTTGGATGTACACAGGTTAGTTCCTGCTCTTCCTATCTTCCTGTTCCTATAGAGCTACTTCAGATAGGAGCAGTCCTTGGATGCACACAGGTTAGTTCCTGTTCTTCCTATCTTCCTGTTCCTATAGAGCTACTCCAGATAGGAGCAGTCCTTGGATGTACACAGGTTAGTTTCTGTTCTACCTATCTTCCTGTTCCTATAGAGCTACTCCAGATAGGATTGGGTCCAACATTCGTCTTCCCATTCCATAATGTTTTGAGTCTAATTTTAATATATTTTTTTTAAATTTGTTTAGACAAACATGATACTGGTTCGGGAGAAATGGAACGACTCTAGATCAGACCTTAAGAAGGATCGGAGTAATCTAGTCTCAGCTTTCACTAGGGTTATACCAATACTCTCCAGGCTACAGACATCAAGGTAAACTTGCTCCAGGTTGTATGTTTCTTGGACTCCACATACACAATAGGAGTTTCAGTAAACATGGCAAATAATATTTCTTAATCTAAAAACTTGTCTTTACCACTTAACAAATATTCACAGTGAACCTAAGTGTGCAAAAAATCATTTTTCGATTTTTCCAATTACTCTTTTAAACTGAAACCAAATACAATAGTTTTGCAGTACGATAAAACCAAAAAACAATTTTCAAGGCTGCCTAGATATCTGTGTACTTTTATATTAAAAAATAGGATAACATCGTTCCAAATTTCCAATTTATCTGTAGTATATTAGGATAGAAATATATAAACCTCTGCCAATAAACTCTATGATTAAAAGTTTCGATATTTGTTCGAAAGTTTTTACTCTTGTGGCGATGTTAAAAATATTGTACAATTTGTTAATAACGGAAAGGAATATTGGTATTGGTGGTTTTATTATTTTAAACATTTTAGACAAAAAAATACGAACAAAATTATTTTAATGAACCAACAAAAAATACTTTAAGTATTCCAACTGATAAAAAAAAATTTTCTAAAGAAGAAAAATGATGAAGTATTGTAAAGTTCTAAAGATGAAAATTAATAATTTTATTTGGTTTTCAGATTCTTCCTTGTTTCTCCGTCTCAGAAGGATGGTCTCATCACTCATCAAAATAGTTTGGAATTTTTAGGTTTATTTTTTATACAAAATTTAAGGATGGACTTCCTTTTTTCCTTGATTTTTACAAACTGTGTGTTCAAAATACAACCTTTTTGTCTAATCTGTTCAAAAATTTGACTCAGTGATTTTTCAAAATGAACTGTTAACTGACCACAAAACTCTAATTTTCTAATCCCTATAACTTTGCAACCTGATGTCGTAGAGATCTTTGATATTTTAAACTTTAATTTCTTTTAGATCATCAAATAGTCAAAATTTGAAGTATCAAAAGTTAAAAATGTCAACAGTTGCAAAATGTAGGAATTAACCACAGTTTGAGGCAAGTAATCAATTTCTTTGCACCATCAGGCATTTATTTGTGTCTTTTTAGTAACTGCTCTGTCTCTGGTTGTATCTCGGCTTGAACCTGAGGATACTGCGAGAATACAAAATGTCGTCTTTGCTCCGATGGAACATCTCCAACCTTCGGCTCTCTCTCTTATCATTCTCATTCATTCGTTCTTCACACAACAAGGTTTGATATCATTTTCTTGGGAAATACAAGTTTTAAAATCCTGATGGGCTGAATAATGAATACGGATGAAAATCCTGATGGGTTGAATAATGAATACGGATAAAAATGATTAAAATGAAAAATCATATTTAACTGATGATGGACTAACCACTAACCAAGGGCTAAATACGTTCGGTGTCAATTTGAATTCAATCGCGTTTCGGTCTATATTTCAACAATCTTTAAATTTTCAGGTTTGTCTTTTTATACTTTTTCATTTGAAAACTCATCACCGACAAAAAAGTAAAAACGGAAAAAACGAAAATTGGTCAAATTGAGAAAGTCGAAGCTTGCTAGGACAAGATCAAGGACCGTAACTGTTAAATCTGTTAATAATGTTAACTGAACCTTTACTACCCACATTTATATAGTTTTATATCTTTGTTATAACCTTAAGTGGGGGAGGTATTGGAATTTAGATAATTTTTCTAATATTTCCTATATTTAAAATATAAATGTGGTAAAAACTATCATTATTTTCGTCAAAACAGGTAGACCACATTTTGAAAATCCCAGTATCAATTGAATATGTCAAATAAAAAAAAACATGTATTTTTCTGCAGTAATACCTGTAACAGATATCAACACAAATAAGTAAATAGATATAAGTAAAGTTACTGCAGGAGATGAGCTTAGAAAGCCTATAATTCCCTGAAGTCCTTATACATAAATACATATTGAAATATGATGGTTATTGCTTGAATATGTTTTTAACTTTATCGGAAAATCAAATGAATTTAGAGAAGATAAAAGTCATCATTTAATTTCTAGGTTTTTTGGTATGTACATACAAACATACATATGTACAGACATACATACATATGTACATACATACATACATATGTACATACAAACATACATATGTACATACATACATACATATGTACATACAGGATTACCCACAAAGAATGAGACTGTAAAGACGACCCAAAGCCTTGGTTTTTGGCTCCTGCATTTAATTGAGTATTTTGATTAAATCAGCACAGAAATAAGCCAGTTTTGGCCTACAAGGAACTCTAAATGCAAGAAACGGTGAGTCGGATTATTGAATGATTCTAAAGATGATTTTTATATCCCCTTCTCTCTTTTATTCTAACTTGACAATAATACCTTCATCCTTTTCAAAATGTCGTCTTCATTCCTATTTAACATTTTTATCCACTAAATCACTTATTCTCTTATAGTTTTACACACACGTATTTTATTCTATCTTTATCTTTATACTAAACTTCAATATTTTGCTTATTCTCTTTCAATACAGTGGTTCTCAAAAAACATCTATTCCTTTCCCCAATCTTTCCAATCACTCTAACTACCAATATAAGAACCCTTATTTTCATCCTAGCTCTCATTGATTCCTAATCCCAAATCTTCCAATCCCAAATTTCTCTGCAGCTTATTTTCATCCCAATCCCAACTTCCTCTTTAGTTGATATCCTTTCCAATTCCCAACCTATTTTACCTACTCCCAATTGGTTCTATCTTATTGATATACGATACCTTATTCCCAATCCCAATAGTTTGGATTTTATGTAAAAGTTACGACACTATAAACTTTTTATATCATGCTTTATTTATGACAAATGACAATTGACAAGAAAATATGAATTTTAGAAGTATTAGACAGAAATAAGCCTGTGCAAAAAACCAGCCTGTGTGAATATTTTGCGCAGTATTATGCTGCCTAGCTAAAAGGGTGTTTAGATCCCTTGAAACAAAAGTTATTAATATGTTTTCATGTTTTCACTTTTATATCTTTTTTAAGCCTAAAAGTGTTTATATTGTCAAATATTACTATCTTTAAATTTGCCCTGCATTTGGCAATCTGCAAAAAGCAGGCTAGACACAGTCGATATAGAACCAGTAAAGAGGAAGGATTCAAGATGTAACTCCTACAAAGAAGAAAAGAACTGTTCGACCCGATCTGATCAATATATACTTCTTTAATTTGCAACCACATCGATTCTTAGAGAGAGAGAGAACATCATATTGCTGGTTAAAGATTAAGAAGTCTTTTATATATATCTGGTTATATTTTTTCTACCATCTCAAGCTACCCTCCCCAACTCAACTTCCCAAAATACTTCCTCGCCAATCATTCATATATCTTTCTCATTTTCTGAGACAACGGACTAAGTAAATTCTGTTCAGTCGTCTCTGAAGTCTCATCCTTTGTGGGTATTTATAAATATTAAGCCTTCCATGAAACATAATCATAATTAGGACTGAAAAAAGACAAAAATTAAATTAAAATGCTTTTAGGTGTGTTCGAAAATGGAGTCCCTTACAACCTAACCAGAGTATCCAATAGTCTGACTGGGTTAAATGTTAATCCTGCTCCGGATATACCTAATATCAACCAGGAGATCAGATCAAAAAGAATTTCAAAGTTTCTTAAAGATTATCATAAAATCATAGATTAATCATTATTGCCTGTTTGTCTTTGCTTACTCTTAGAAGTATTTGTTCTCATCTTTTTCTAAAAAGTAGGTTTTGATTTGTTGAAAAATGAAGGATGTAAATGTAATCCAAAAAACTATTTTAATATATCTATTATGATTTTGATCACAATTTCTTTTTTCTGCTTGAACTTGAATAAATTATTTATCGAGGTTTTATTCTACCGTTAATCAATCAAATTCCAAATTGAAATCATTTTGTCTAAACTTTCACTATTAGATGGATTGATATAAAGCAACTTTTATCCTTTCATCGATATCTCTAGGTGCACAATATATCCCTGTATCCTGGATATATTAAGTATATTCCTGTATCCTGGATATATTAAGTATATTCCTGTATCCTGGATATATTAAGTATATTCCTGTATCCTGGATATATTAAGTATATTCTTGTATCCTGGATATATTAAGTATATTCCTGTATATGTAAAATAATTATTTTGGATATATGTAGTATAGCCTGTTTCCTGTTTATATAAAGAATAACCTGTATCCTGTATATATAAAGAATAACCTGTATCCTGTATATATAAAGAATAACCTGTATCCTGTATATATAAAGAAAAACCTGTATCCTGTATATATAAAGAATAACAATGTATCCTGGATATATAAAGAATAACCTGTATTCTGTTTATATAAAGAATAACCTGTACCCTGTATATATAAAGAATAACCCTGTATCCTGGATATATAAAGTATAACCCTGTATCCTGTATATATAAAGTATAACCCTGTATCCTGGATATATAAAGTATATCCCTGTATCCTGGATATATAAAGTATAACCCTGTATCCTGGATATATAAAGTATATCCCTGTATCCTGGATATATAAAGTATAACCCTGTATCCTGCTTATATAAAGTATATCCCTGTATCCTGGATATATAAAGTATAACCCTGTATCCTGGATAAATAAAGTATAACCCTGTATCCTGGATATATAAAGTATATCCCCGTATCCTGGATATATAAAGTATAACCCTGTATCCTGTTTATATAAAGTATATCCCTGTATCCTGGATATATAAAGTATAACCCTGTATCCTGGATTTATTAAGTATAACCCTGTATCTAAGAAGACTATGATGAAAGATGACATGAGTCCTATCTCTGCTAATCTCTCCACGACCAAATTATTCATTCTTCACCTTTTCTTTGAATAAGTGAGTGTGAATACTCACTGTGAGATTGCACTTCTCCTGGAATCCATTCTTATTCTTATATTTATATCTGGGTTCCTCCTTCTCTCTCCTCCCACTTGCACACTTTCTTCTTCATCATTATAATCTCTCTCAGTCTGAAATTGAGCTCATGGTTGCATTTAACACCTTAACAGCTTAAATTTGTACAGAACCAGAACTTGAACCTTAACTTAACCTTCCCCTTGATGCTGTACAGAACCTGAATCTTGAACCTGTACAGAGCCTTAACCTTGAACACTTAAAGAACCTGAACCTTGAAACTGTACAGAACCTAAACCTTGAAACTGTACAGAACCTTAACTTGAAACTGTACAGAACCTAAACCTTGAACCTGTAAACATTGAAAATCTATAGAACCTGAACCTTGAAGCTGTACAGAACCTGAACCTTGAACCTGTACAGAACCTAAACCTTGAACTCTTAAAGAACCTAAACCTTGAAACTGTACAGAACTTAAACCTTGAACCTTTACAGAACCTAAACCTTGAACATCTGTAGAACCTGAACCTTGAAGCTGTACAGAACCTAAACCTTGAACATCTATAGAACCTGAACCTTGAAGCTGTACAGAACCCGAACCTTGAACCTATAGAGAACCTGAACCTTGAACCTGTACAGAACCTAAACCTTAACCTCTTAAAAAACCTGTGTACAGAACCTTGCTGCTGTACAGAACCTAAACCTTAAATCTGCACAGAACCTAAACCTTGAATCTGTACAGAACCTGAACCTTGAACCTCTCCTGAACCAAAACCTTGAATCTGTACAAAACTTAAACTTTGAACTTGTTTACAGAACATGAACCTTGAACCTTAACAGAACCTGTGCTTTGAACCCGTACAGAATCTAAACCTTGAATCTGTTTAGAACCTACACCTTAAACCTGTACAGAACCTGAACCCTAATCCTATATAGAACCTAAACCTTGAACCTCTGCTAAACCTAAACCTGAAACCTGTACAGAGCCTGAACCTTAAACCTCTCCTGAATCCAAACCTTAAACCTGTACAGAACCCAAACATTAAACCTGTACAGAACCTTAACCTTAAACTTGTAGAGAACCCAAACCTTAAACTTGTCAGAACCTAAACCTAGAACCTAGAAACAGAAACTTTAATGTAAAGAGAACCTAGAGTTAAATTGGTTTTAAATAATATAGAACCAGATCTAGAGAAGTTGAACTAACCGACACTCGACATAATCTTCATACAACACGAACACTAGACATATGTTCAATATTTGCATCTCCAGACTCTAAGATTGTATCTATGGACATTTTCGAGTTTTTGTTCAACTTTTAGAGATAAAGGTGGTTGACCATTGTTTAGTTTGGTACATTTGTCCTGAAAAGAGGCAGGTTACGTAAACTAGAGGTTTTTACACCCGACCCTAACCATTCTTTTCAAAACCAATAACCTTAAGCTGAAATATTTTAGTTTCTTGTTCGTCAAGGGACAATTTTCAATTCTAAACCTTTTGTTGCTTAGTCATCGTCAGTTGGTTTTGTGTTGTTTTCGTGTTTACCGGTGTAAAGTTAATCTCAAGATTTTATTCTAGGTATCATGTTATTACAAGTGACCCCTCAATTATGAACTGGTATTTCCAATTCAAAACAATGCCTTTTAAACTGTAATGTGAGTAAAAATAATAACGATTTCATAAATCGTCCGCTAGTGATTACCCGTCCGGTGTGCCTTATTTATGATGTGTAATTTTTCATCGTTCGTTACGACTTCTTTTAAAGTCAAAACCTTTCATTTTTTATTTTGTTAAAGGGACAGTCAGCGTTTCAAGTAATCCTCTTCGAAATATTAACAAATCACAAGGTTACCCTTGAAAACTTTTTTCTGACCAATAATGCGGAAGATATTGTCGTTTTCTAGGGTTAAAATTCTTATAAATTCCTATTTGTTTTCCTGCAGTAAATAGGCGCAAAATACTTTTGTAGAGAAACCACAATTTAAATAATCAGTTTTCAAATGCATAAACATTGATACATAATTAATTCTTGATCTGACAAAGCTTTTAAGGACATCATTGTAAATTGCTTAAACTTAAGCTTACAGTCCCTTGAAAAGAATTGCAGTGTGTATTTTCTGCTTAATATATGGAGGGGTGGTTTTCAAAACCCAGGATATTTTTTATGATTAAAACGTTCTAAAAATCTCGAAACCTCTATAATACGCATACATTAAACAAAATAAATACAAAATGAAAGTATGTATCAACGAAAAAACGCGATGATTACGGGTCCCAAAGCTTAAAGCTTAAAGCCTGATAGACATTTAACAATTTTTTTAAATAAACTATAGAAAATCGTAGAATAGGAAGACGACATTAAAGCAATACTGAAGTGCATTAGATGTTGTTACAAAGCAAATAAGTTACCAATAAGTTATTAATTCACTTATTAAGTAAAATTGATCTGTTTACTCTGCACAATTGCTGTGTCCCATTCTTATTGGTTTATTTAAAGTCCTAACTTCAGTTTAAAAGTCGACTTCAAATTCCAGAGTTTTTTGCTTATCACTGTAGTTAAATTTTTTTAAATGAGCAAAATATTTTCTTTCCAGAACTTTTCCAACTTTCATTTCTCTTCTCTTAAACCTCCCCCTTGGTGAACTCTCTTTGTGAACCCTGATCCTGGATCCTGGACACTGTCTCTTTAACATTGCATTTGAAACCATTAGGTTCCAGACACAACTCAGGGTGTAAAACTATCCTTGGTTACTTGAACCTTCCTTAGTCCTTACATTCTTAACCTGAGTACTGATAAGATTAGGATGCACAGGTTTATCTCAAGGGTTGAGCTAAACACCAGTTCCAACATGGAACAAAGAATTTTAAACAGATATTTGACAACACATTACCAAGTGAAAGATTTGCATTTTATAACGTGTACTGCACTGGAACTTTTTGTAGTATTTAAGAACCATGTTTATCACTGAATATTAGGCATAGGTGGTTCTAATTGGGTTTATTAGAAAAAAACCAAGCATTGATAAACGAGAGAAAGAATTCTATCCTTTCCAACTACCAGAGATTTGTTTCCAATCAAACCATGTTGAAGGTGAGAGAAATTAACCAAAACTGTTGAAATTCAAAGAAGAGAATAACATCCTTACTGAGAGAATGAAATTATTTTTAATCTCGAACCTCTAAATCTGAATGTTGAGGATGAATCTTGAACCTCTAAATCTGAATGTTCAGGATGAATCTTGAACCTGGAATATCTGAACGTAAATGGTGAGGATGAATCTTGAACCTGGAATATCTGAACCTAAATGGTGAGGATGAATCTTGAACCTGGAATATCTGAACCTAAATGGTGAGGATGAATCTTGAACCTGGAATATCTGAACCTAAATGGTAAGGATGAATCTCGAACCTGGAATATCTGAACCTAAATGGTGAGGATGAATCTTGAACCTAGAATATCTGAACCTAAATGGTAAGGATGAATCTTGAACCTGGAATATCTGAACCTAAATGTTGAGGATGTGAACCTAAATATTAAGGATGAATCTTGAACCTGGAATATCTGAACCTAAATGGTGAGGATGGATCTTGAACCTGGAATATCTCTGAACCTAAATGTTGAGGATGAATCTTGAACAAGGAATATGATAAATATTTTCGTGCTGTGTTGGTATAAAGGCTGTATGCTGTATCCACGAATATTGATTAGAATACGCATAAGAACCTCGGCCGGACACCGGATAATTTGTTTATGTTTGTTATAGCGCGCACAAGTCTGCTTGAGCGCGCACTATCTTCCGCGCATAATTGCTATCAGATTCGAATGGATAGTGTACACACATATATCTTCTAAACTTCTTCTGGCCCTTCTAATGTTTCAAAGAAAGAAATTTATGAATTAAAGTATTGTGCTTAGC